TATCAGATGACCCCAAACCCTGCGACATCATATAGCCTGATATTGAAGCTGAGGTGGATGCGAAAGTGACCAGTGCAAGGAGCCACCATTCAAGGGGTCAGGAGCTCCAAATATTACATGTTGCCTAAAGCAGGTTTATATGAGCCATATATAATGATTAGACTAGGGATCTTGGGAGAATCGCGATTTAGGGTTTAGGGCATCATGCTACCATTATCATAGGATCCCACGACAATCTTAGTCTGCAGTCTTACATCTCCCTCGTCGCGGCAATGAAGCCGATACCCAGAACCCCTCGCGTCCCGGAGTGGCAGCACTCAGAAGCCAGGCCGCTTTGGGGTTGAAGGGTTCGGCCGTCACTCCAAAGTCCAAGTCCTTGTTGGTACAGTTCTGGGAGTATGTGGCCAAAAGGCATTCGAAACTCATGGCGCCTTCTCTAAACCCCGTTAATGCAACCCTTGAGGTAGTACGGTAACCCTAACAGCCGAATGGCAGGCATCTTCTGTCAGTCTTCTGTTGAGCAGGATGGATGCCGAGCTCAAAGCACTCGGCAGTGACCACATGCAAGTCTCCTGGCTTGCAGCAACCTTATAGTACCCTACACTCCTTGGGGTTTAGTTTAGGGTTTAGGAAGCCCCCCTCCATCTTTCCCGAAGCACTAAGACGAAAGCTGAGACAAGGGGTTGCCGTCCCTTGAAGCAGGGCTTTTGGCGGTTCGATGTCACGGTCATTTTAGCGGAGGGTGATTACGTAGTTTGGTTTGTTTGTTATTGTTTTGCGCGATTTGCTCCTGCTTGGCTGGGGTCGGACGCAAGGGACGCAAGCAGAGGCTTAGACCCGCAACTCCGATAATCTGAAACCGCTCCCAACGCGACGGTGAGATGCTCTACCACAGCAGACATGGCAGTGGCGATTCTGAACGGTTGCATGCCGTGAGGTTTATTGGGGGCCTTGGGGGTTTCAGTTGGAAGTTTGATTGATGGGTGCCATGCGACAGGATGCGTTGCGCACCCCAAGCAAGGTTCTGTCCACGGGTGCTCGATGCCGGCACGTGGGTGCATCATGCGTCCGGGCACGGGGAGCCCAGACTCGCCTCCACAGGTACTTGCCAAGCTGATGCGACCGAGCATGCAGCGTGAGGCAAGGCAGCATTCGACCTGAATATCGGCTTGAGCTTATCTGGTGCTATCCTAAGCCATGGTGTGTCCTCTGAAACTGGAGTTGAGGTTCTTGACTAAGCTTTGATGCGTGGTTTCGGACGCATTCAAAAAGCTGGGCTGGGTCAGAACGAATTCGTCCATAGAAAGCAGAATGAGACAGCATGCCTGAACAAAAGTCATCGTCTTGACGGCTGCCTTGTTAGAAGCCCGGGTGTAAGGGTTTGGGGTGCCCTGAGCTCGATCTCATGTGACAGGTATCCGAACTTTTCCCAGATGCCGAGTTGGATATCCAAGCTTTGATGCAGGGCGACAAAGAGTCACCTGGCAATGACGGGCCATGGGATCTGGGAACGACGGTCTCCGGTGTTATCCGTCATGTTGCAGGGGTTCTATAGGACCCAGACGCCCTCAAGATTGAAGACTTCCAGGTACGTGAAAGTGCTCCGAACGGCCGTTGAGGGCATGAAAGATCGGGCAAAAGAGCCACGTCTGCAACTCCAGAATGTGGTCATTCCAAGGTCATTCTTGTGGTCATTGACTCCTCTGTTGCAGTTTACGATGGTATGCAGCTGTCGTAAAGAAATATCATAGCAGTCCTAAATCCTAAAGCCCTGATTCGGAGAACTGAGTGTTTTGAGATTTGGGGGTCTGTGGTGTAGGGTTTAGAGCCCTGGACCTTAAACTGTGATTCGCAAGCCTAGCCTGAAACCCTTTACCCCGGCCAGGACCGTCATCACGGTCAGTGCCCGGCTTGTGAAACGTGTGAGCGTCAAAACCCTGAACCCTAAACCCCGAAGGGCTGCGGCGGGATGCTGGTAGCTTTGATCTGGTATAGGAAGGGTGTTGAGGGGTGCGAATACGGCAGTTCCCTAATTGGCAAATGTGCCGATTGTCCAAATGTGAGCCCCGAAACCTTACATAGGTATTACCTGGGCAGCCCCGCCTCGTATGATGGTCCTTTTGGGCTTTGCATAGCACCTCGACCTTTGTATCAAGGCCTCTCAGCAATAGTTCATGTAAGGACGTCCGATATTGGGAATCCTTGGTGGCTTCTGCTTTTTGATATCTGCAGATCGAGGCACTCCTATGTTTGTTTCACCTCATCCGGCCACGAAACTATGACCTCGCCTGGCTTGTCCGAAAATGAGCGCCGAAACCCCTAAGATTAGGTGGTCAATCTTACAGGGATCTTTTTTGCGTTTTGTGGTTTGGGTTGCCTCACAATTTAAATCCTGTTTACCAAGACGGACCCAGCTGAGGTGAGGAAGCTCGGCAGCGTAATGTCGGACATTGCCCCGGGTCTCACGAACGCGTTGCTCCACGTGCGAGATGCTCACTTGGCCAAATTGCTGCGCTCGGCGCCTTTCAACCAGGCCACCACAGAAGCTCGACTCATCTTACCCCACGCCTTACGTAGCGCCCGTGCCAGGGAGAGGTGGACAGGGTGAGAGGTTTGGGTGCACATGGGCTCTTGCTTTTGACTCTGGCCCGGTTGAAGAAGAGATGAGCAGTCCAGAAAAGTGGTCTTGCGAGCCACTAGTAGCCGGCTAGTATCGAAATTCGAGCGTGCGCATTTCCAGGGCCAGAGAGCACGTGAAAATTATGTCTAGGTATTGTATGTTCCATGTAGAAAGCTCGGCAGACAGCCTTGTTCTTTCTTGCAGTCTCTGAGGTATGCGTAGTTGGCATGGCTCACATGGACGGCATCGCACGGCGCTATACCGATGCCAAGTGGAAGGTCATCGGCAGCTGTGAGAGCATAGAATATCATGTGAGATGGAGCGTACTGCTGAAACATGTTCCAAAGCCGTCAAGCAAGATTGAGCTGAGTCTGAACAGCGTCCCTATGTTGCAGCAAATCCTGCCTCGGAAGACGAGAAATTAAGGGAAAGCATCGTTTAGATCCTGCTCTCTTGATTCCGCACTTCCAAGATTCTCGACGAGCTGTGACATCCGTGACAGTGCAGACATTAACTGGCAACAGCGACCAAGCAGCAGCAACAGCAAGGCAGCAAAAGCAATCACAGCCGCGACATGCCGCAAGCAGCACAACCAGAAGAACGCCATGACCACTACTGCTGGAATATTTCTGCTCCAATATGATCCTCCTCCTGCTGCTGCTGCTCCTACCACCACTGCCACTGCCCCACACCCCACACCACCTAGCACCTACCCGTACCCCCTACCACCTACCACCTACCACTACCACTGCGACGATGACTACCACTACTACTGTTGGCAGGAAGATGAGCCCTGGAAACCACCGAAGGTGACATCAGGACCTTCGTTTGGTCTTTCTTCGCTGCGGCAATTTGGAGCTTCGCATGTTGGGTTCGACCTCGATTACGACATCCTTTCCGCACCGAGTCGCAGGGTTTAAGGGGCTCAGCTCTTGACGTGGGAGTTTTCGAAAATCAGGGGTAACTTATTCTGGGGTCCTTATGATAAGGATCCTCCTATGTAGGGTACTATATTAGGGTCCCTTATTTTCGAAAACTCCCACGTTACAAGTCCAACATAAACTCGGCAAAAGGTCCTCTCACTCGGACCTGCCTGACCCACCTTGTGTCGACACAGATAGCAGTTCCATGAGAACCTGACCTTGGTGCGTCCTCCACCTGCAAGCTGTACCCAGAGGCCCCATAGTAGTTCCTTTTTGGGGATTACCCTGCCCTATCGGATTTTGTTGCAACCCCCAAAAAGGAACTACCATGGGGCCTCTAGGTAATGAACATATTCACCCGATGAGCAACCTGCCGGTTTTTACAGCAAGCCTAGACAGTAGTCGTACAGCTCCGACTTGTTGGAAATACCACCGAATGCCTGCCAGCATTCCGCTGCCACACATCCTATAGCGCTGTTTTCATTCGGTGTCGCGGTCATGCCTCGCAGGGAAGAGTTTCCCGCAAGCCTTGGATGTGCCTCGGTTGACGATGGAACTGAAGTTCTGCAGACGCAAAGTCTGGCCAAAACAGTGAAGAATGTGTTTCGGTGACTTGTTGCAGGATAACTGTGGCATTGCGTGTTATGCATCACTTAGCCCTTCTTTGTGCACTAGGATGGATGGAAGGAGATATTGCTGGGCAGGGGATAAGGGACTCTATGCAGTGAAAGCTGGAGTTGAACAGGCAATCCAGCGAAATCCCCCAAAGCTTTGGTTTATGCACACGTGGTCAGAAGTTTTCTCAACACCCGCTCATCTCCCTTCTAGCCCTGCTTCCCAGCTCTTCCACTCGATTCTTTGCTAATGTAGGAACCTGATTAAGAAACCCTGGGTCTATAACCCCAAAATAGTAGGGTTCATATAAGGAACCCTAGATAAATAACAAAGGCCCAAGGTTTTTAATCAGGTTCCCACATCAGGTTGGGCAGCTCCTGGGTGGCCTGAGAGCTTTAGAGCAGGCGCAGCGATCGGGGAGCGCGGGGAGAAAAGGCTGTGTGCTGCCGAGTCCTCTTGGCGATCCCCGGGCGCTGTTGAGGGTTCATGATCGGGTACTTACTCCGTAGTGTTCCTTTCTAGTCTTATAGTATGAAAAGCCAAGGCCAATCAAAATAGTCTAACAGTTGCGGCCTAAAGAGTTCTTGGCCATAGACGCAACAAAGATCCAAACAGAAGAACATGCGCCAGAGTGAGGAACTTCATTCAAAAGCTAGAGGAAATGGAATACCCTCACTCTCTTTGTTGTACTGCGCTTAGGCCGGATGTAGATTTGATTGACAAGCGTGAACATGGTCTAGAGCATGAAGGGAGTGTTGAAAAGCTGCGAAACAAAGGCCCAGAAGGGCTTTGCCTTGTAGGACGTTTGTGATGGGCGTGCGGGAGCTGTAGTACCGGCCGAGGTTGCACGACATGTACCGTGGGTGGGGCCAGCTGCACATTGAGTGCGCGTCTCAGCAAGTAAGGGTTTTGTACTCACATTGCCTGCGAGATCCACTTCAGACCACATCGCGTTGCCTCGTTGAGATTTCGGCCGAGATGTACGTCAACTGAGGATCCCAGGCCCTAGTGCTGTCAAACTCTGGCAGACAAGTGACAAGACCACCCACAAAGACCTGGGACCGTAATGTTCCGTAGACTAGCAATCCAATTTAGATCGTTAAACTCCGTATGAGTGTATGAGGGTCACATATGAATTTCGATTTCGAGCTCGGCTTCCGGGAATCTCGGGAACGAAGGTACGGCAGCGAACGATCGCCGCACACCGACGCCCACGCGAGCGCCTCAGACATTGTGTGAGGATGTGAACCCTATACCCAGAACCCTAAGCCCCTAATCCACAGAGAGTCGGGACGATGACATGTGAGGCTTACGAGCGTTTGAGGTGGTACACCGGCCAAAGGCCTTTCGCTAGTGCGAATTCCTAAAACCTATGCTAAGGCGGACGGAAAAAGGCATTCAAACAACAAAAACTAGTCCCCGGCCGCTTTAGCACGCCCTGGACGTTCGATTCTTTCGGGGAAATTATGGGCTTTCTTGGATCATGGTCCTACTGCGTACGATGGGTGCCCACTTTCTGAAACAACCCGGGAATGGCCGAAAGACTTGAATTCTCAAGCCGCCGCATCGAACCAACAGTGCCTACCTGCGCTCTCCGATCTAGCCAAACAGAACTGCACTGAACACCCCCCCCCTCCCAGTTCAGCGGATCTTGACGCTCAGGTCTCGTGGCCCCATGCGCCCTTCTACGATCCCAAAGCGGATCCCATCAGCCGGTCCGGGGCACAGCTTCTCTTAGGCGGTTGGTGAGTAATTCTATGACTATCATAGACTCTCTATAGGGGGCATCTTTCGGATTTGGATTGGTTCCTGGCGCTCCATATCAGCGGTTGTTACACAAGGGTCCAAGACCGGATCCAAAGGGAGTTCAGGTTTGCATCAAGGTTCGTGTTCAAACTTTGACACAGGGTTTAAGGAGTCTCAGTGTTTTGCGCTGTGGGTGAGATCACCAAGAAGGGATCATACCCTAAACCCTAATTATGGACGTAGTTCAGCTGCCGACCCGAACGCATGGACCTCGTCTGGCTTGTCCGAGTTGCGAGAGTTTGAACCCTAATTATGAGGTGAAGGCTTTATGACTTAGTAGTAGAGTAAGTAACCTTTAACCTTTTTGGGGTAGTATACGTAATCCCTACATAACATAGCCCCTATATAATCAAAAAGGTTAGCCTTTAGTTCCCCATGATACCCGACAAGTAGGATGAGGTTCTGTGTTCTGTTGGCCTCCAAACCCTGAGCCCGAAGCCCTGGTCCGTCCTAGCCAGGTCCCGGAAGGTATCGAGATTCTGCGAGATTTAGGATTATAGGGTTGAGGGTTCTCGGTTCCTGGCATATGCGTAGTCCAGGTCTAAAAGGGTTTAGGGCTATAGGGTAAGATCATGAACTGTAGCCAGAATTGCTACGCTTGTGCGCGATGCTGCCGTTTTTGTCGCTTTACCCGGCCGACTTCCCAAGCCCGGATGCAAGAAAGGGTTCAGGATTCTGGGGGGGAAATGTTCCAAGTGACCTTTGCAGCAACGACTAAGATCAGTTTGCATATATATATATATGCCCTATAAATCCTATGAGGTTTAGTCTGCTGCAGGAGAATGTTGGAGGCAGAAGATTCTAGTGCAGACTGCGGTTTCATTTCCAATCCTACGAATCCTACAGAGAAGGGGCCATAATAGGCATAGGGTTTTGGGGTTCCTTATTATAGTTACAAAAACTCACCTCATTAGCAGCTGCCCGGCCTGCTAGTTGGAGTTTGCTTTAGGGTCTGTGGATGGAGGAAACGGCCGATGGCGTAAAGGAAGCGGGTTTGGGATTCGCAAAACCCACCAGGAAGGGCTTTCTTTGCTAAGCCTTGGAAGCGTGAGGGACAAATAGCTAGAGGGACCTGGTCTAGGGGCTGAAAACGTTACTTATACTATTTCGGGGGTTCCTTGATATAATCATAGTATAGTGGCCCCAAAACCCTACTCCAATTAATCAGGCCCCTATATTACGTACCTTCATAAAGCCGCATGTTGTAGGGGCTTTGCAGGCACATCATTGCTCATCGTGCGGGCACCTATATAGCAGTGCCTGGTCGGGTATGGGTACTAGGCACAACTGTGGCAGCAATTACTAGTGGCACATGATTGCCCACATGAACCCTGCACGCGCCCGGCTTACCGTAAATCAGGAGCAATTCAGGCAAGTTTCTTCCACTGTTGCATAATGTGCGGGAAGTGACACGCATCTGTCGAGCGCAGTGCTAAACCGCAAACCCGATACCCTGTCATTATTTGAGTTGGCTTTACAGCGTTTACGAAATCGTCCAACAATAAGCCGTAAAATGCCAACTTTCTATGACCATGGAGAAACCCGAGGAAGGCATCCTTAGATCTAATAGCACTTCCGAACGCGGACGATATCGGACAATGAACCGTGGCCCTTCGACGCCCAAAGGCTATCTTACTGGCTGCAGCTTGCAGACCACTTTCGGTACCCCAGCGTCGTGCACTTTGCCTCGCTTCCGGAGATGATGGAGAAGGCTCCCGGTTGAGGTGGCGATCCTAAACCCAAACCCTAAACATAAAGCCCCAATCCCTTTACACGTATGAGCCTTAAATCTAAACCCTAAACCTAAAGCCCTAATCCCTTTTCCCATCTGAACCCTTTCAATTCTATAGGGTGTAGGGTTTAGGATATCGAAACAAGGCGTCCTTGCAAGCAAGCCTGCAGCAAAGGATATCGAAACCCTAAATCTATAGGACATGGGAAGCCTTGGGATCTGTGGAAGCATCGGAGGTCATCGGCGAGGACTGGGCCAAAATCAGCGTTCAGACGCCCTCTCCTCAGCAAGAGCACTGTAGCCGTCTTGGTGCACTTGGGGCTCTTAAAGTTTATTTTATGGTGTTGGGTCGCTACACTCTTTTCACCTGGTATGTCCCCTTCGGACACCAGCGATGCTGGCACCAGCCGTGCGAGAGCCAGAAGGTTTGTCAGTTAACTCCCAGTTCTTCAAACCTAGAGGTGGCGTTGCTTTTGTGAGTATGTTGGTTTTTGTTTGTTGCGTACTACAGGGGCACAAAAGATCCTATTTGGGGGGGGGCTGCCTCTTACATTTATAGTATAATGGCCCCAAAACTTATTCTAATTCGGTCCTTGCAGATCCTCGTAGGTGACTTAGTCAGCTAGGCGGGTGACAGCAAGAAGTTTTCTTGAACAGCTCGGACCAGCCGTTGACCAATCCAGGAGTCGGAGTGATTAGGACTTATGTTCACTGACCATAGTCCTTATGCAACTGCACCAATGTCACCCCGAAGCCCTAGGCTAATGATTAAGGCCCCCCCGGGCCCGGTTAAAGGAATATTGAGGCCCCTTTACAGGGACCCTTTTAGGGATATGGGGGTTTAGGGTTTTAGGATCAAAATTCCCTGCATAGGGTTTAGGGTTTTAGGATCAAGAGTCCCTGCATAAAGGGCCGTGGGAGAGGCAGCTCTTCCATCGAAACGAGCGAACTGAGTGCAGTGGCCTAGTGTAGGGGCCTTGAAAGACAATAACAAAGAATCACGTATCTTATAGGGGTTTATCGGGCTTCGGGGCCTTATAGTCACTCAGTTATATCTATATATTCATATAGGCAGAAGGGGATACCATTCCGACCCCCATGTGACCTGTGTCAGGCGTGCGCACCATCGACGAGTCATGTCCCAGAGTGAAGCGTGACTTGCATGCAGCCCGGGGTCTTCATCAGCGATGTCTGGCGCTTTATATCATTGTCGGCTTAGGGTTTAGCCCCAGTTTTCGAAGCCGGAGCCTCCAACCTGAATCTTCCTGCCTGTGCAGCAGAGGAGCAACTTACTCAGACTTACCAGTAACCACGCCCCATCGTTGGGCGCGCATCGACTTGAGTTAGCGACTGCGAATCGAGGGCCAGCATATCGCAGACTCAAAGACATCGCCTGCGGCCGCTGCAGCCACGTTCTCCCGAGTTTCGGGGGAAGGGGACGGGAGGGGTGAGGCTTTTGAGACGGAAGCACAGAGCGCTTCCGAGCTTTCCAGGTTCTCAGAGGTGCAGGGAGCCATAGTCACAGTCATAGTCTTCACTAATGATTTACCGTGCTCACGTAAGCACTAGTAGGAGAAAAGGACTGCATGGGTGCGTGGGTTGTCGTTTTTGTGAGATTAGGCCTTCGGGTTGTCTACGAATTACTAGAGGATGCTCCGCACGCGGGTGATGGGCAAAGTCCCGGAAATGCTACATGTCCGGATGATGGCATCGGGAGAAGAGGTGGACCTCAGAGGTTTCAAGACAAGCAGTGTTCGCAAGAATCCGAGTCTGTTCTCTTTCTTGCTTTGCTATGATGTAAGTGCTTTAATGATTAGCTATACTATTTCGGGGGTTCCTTATTCTGATTATAGTACAATGTGCCCCAAAATAATGCCCCTCTCTCTCTCTATATATATATATATACAGATACTATTTACTCGGCTTCGCTCTTTGCCATGAATCCCTGCAGGTCGTTGCTCTCTCCGCTGAAGAGTTCGACACTCTTGCCGCGTCAACAGAAAGGTCGGTCCGAGTTCTGCTGCTTGGCTTAGTCCGGTCAGATGAGCCTTCGGCCAAGCTGTGGTAGTGATGACATGTGTACCGACATCATGGTGCAGATGTGAAGGCCGTGAATGCCGTGATTTCTGGATGTATTAACATTACTTCATCTACAGACAGGGTTACCGCTTCCATTGCAGTTCGACAGTTTTGGATTGCGACCTCCGCCCTGAACCCTAGACCCGTTCAAAGGCAGCGAGACCTTCTTCTTCAACGCAGGTTTCTGGTGAGGGAAGCCGAATCCGGAGAAACGGAGCTCAGCAACACAGAAACCCTAATCAAAATAGCAACACTATCAATAAGAAGAATAATGACTAATTACAACACTAAGAATAATAATAAGATCAATTCCGAAACCTCAAAGCCGCACCAGGAAAGAGCACCTGGCGAGGGTAACGGGATGTCCGCGCTTCCGCCTTCGTGTGCTTCACAAGGGCTCCATGTTGCAGGACGAGACGCGCTTGGACCTCCCCGTTTCTTAGGGGTACTTAGAAATAATTTTCAATTTTTGATTATTATGATCCCTAAGAAACAGCCAAAAGTGTAATTTTTTCTAGGGTTTTAAGTTCAGTATAGGTTTCTTTGGCACTGGTAAAGCTGAGCTTCGAAGAGCCGGAGATGGCGAACTTGGAAGAGGTCCGCAACCCCAGCCAAACCCTCCACTCTTGGCCCTAAAAATCCTGAGCCCTGAGCCTAAATCCGACAAAGTCCACACGGAGGTCGGCCACGCAGCTTCTATGGACGATGCAGTTACTGTGGAAGCCTTCCTCCAGAGGCCTCAACACCCTGATCTCGCAATCGAGCGAGGCCTCACGTGTTTGGGTTTCGCTGCTCGAAGTGGTCAGTTGAAGTCTGCGAAGTTGCTTCTTGAAGCCAGGGCGGATTTGAACAAAAGCGACGAACAAGGCGTTACACCGTTGCATTTGGCATCGGCTGAGGGTCACAAGAAGGTTGTGCGATGGCTCCTCAAGAACCGTGCTATTGTGGGTGCTGGTACCACACAGGGTGACACGTCCTTGCACTTCGCTTGCGATATGGGCCAACGGAAAATCGTGCGCATATTACTGGAGGCAAGAGCAGATAGTCAGCAGCAGGAATCTCGAGACGGCGCCACACCCTTGCACTGTGCGTGCCTGTCCGGCCAAGTGAAAGTCGTGGAACTGCTGCTGAGTGCATCTGCAGATGTACATAAACAGACACAGCGGGGTGCAACACCGGTACACTGGGCGTGCCACCACGGCCACGTGGATGTTGCACGTGCGTTGGTGTGGTCACGAGCGGATGTAAACCACGCCAGCGCAACCGGAGCAACACCTCTTTATTGTGCCTGCGATTTAGGACATGTGGAAATGGCCCGGTTCTTGATTCAAGCAGATGCCGACATACATCGAGACACAACGAATGGCATGACCCCGCTCTTTGTCTCAAGTATGCTGGGGCACACGGAGATAGTGCGTGCGCTGGTGAAGGCTGGTGCGGACGCGAAGAAGGCCACAGCCGGACAGATACCGCTGCACATCGCATGCATCAATGGACATGTAGACATCGTCCGGATCTTACTGAACGGCCAAATCCGGCAACCAGCGCCAGCTCCAGCTCTGGCTCTCCATTCGGACACTTCCCTTCTCAAAGCCTTACATCTCTCGTGCGCCTTTGGACATGTGGATGTAGTGATGCTTTTGATAGGCACCGTGAATGTGGATGGCTTGGATAAGCACGGCATGGCGCTGTTGCATCATGCTTGCGCTCTTGGCCGAGCTGAAGTTGTCCGCTGCTGCCTTCGGGCTGGTGCTGGGGTTGATGTGCAAACATCGGGTGGAACAACTCCCTTACAAGTTGCATGTGTCGCAGGCTCCGTGAGAATCGCAGAGCTGCTGATTCAGCATGGGGCTAGAACAGATCTTCCCGATCGGCTGGGCATGACGCCACTGCTGGTTTCTTGCCACACCCGGCAGGTCGAACTCGCAAAACTGCTCTTGGACAACGGTGCGGCTACTGACAGACCTGCCATGGATGGTGTGTTGCCACTCCATGTGGCCTCTATCCATGGGCACGAAGAGCTTGCCCACCTGCTGATACACAAGAAAGCCGACTTGGATGCGTCCACAGAAGACGGCCAGACGGCGTTCCTGGTTGGCATTGTGTCATGATTTCTAGGTGTACATGAGGTCTTTGTAGAGATGCCTGAGATGCCTATTCGTAGATTAAGCGGCTTATACAGCCTTCAACTTCATCGAAGCCCGTAAATCTTGCGGAAGCTGCAAAACTCGAAACCCCTAGACCCTAAACCCCCTAATTATCCGAGTGTGAGCGCCGAAACCCTAACATCTGCCTCGTGCGAGTGTCAGCATCGAACCACTTTAACATAGATGCCTCAATACTAGAATGGGGCTTACCTAAAGCTAGGGTTTAGGGTTTAGGGGGTTAGGGTTTAGTATATAGTTATGTAGGGACTGTAAGTGGATGATTCCTCGTAATCGGTGCCCTAAGCCTTTGCAACCCAGGCTGTGCATTGCTCGGTTTCACGGCCACTGGGGCGTTGTACGTTTGCTGATGCAGGCTGGTGCTGTTGAAACGCGACAGCCGAAAAGGCGACGCAGGATTAAAGGTCCTTAATCTGGGCTTTGGAGTACCATAAATTGATACTTTTGTGGGACCTGTTACTTAAAGGGAACCAACTATGAAATAAAAGCATGTACTTTTTTCGCCCTGGTTACTTCAAAGCCCAGTAATTCAAATTCGATTAGAGACGACATCAGACGACTATGGGCTTCAAGGTTCAGGGGCTATTTTACCGTTTCACAGTGATTAAACGCTGTGGTTTGATACGAAACATGTTTCTCTAGATGATTGCCGCACTATGCATGATACTGCCCTGTGACAGATCATTGTGAGACTCTACTTACACATGGGTTTAAGCTGGTGTTTTGTGGCTCTGCAGTTGTTGTTGACCTCCCCTGCCATCCGTCTGGATGCTCGCCAGAAGAAAAAAGGCACTGGGGACGTAGAAGCGGTTTCATGCAGCGCTTCCCAAGCAGCATGGCCAGATCGGTAGCGTAGGCTCAGCGTCTGCCTGGTTTCCACATGACCACAATAGGTTCAAGACGGTGTTCCAAGCTGTTTTAACATAAGACACCAAGCCAAGATCCCACATCTACAGTCTACATCGAGACCCGAACGGTTTAGGTTTTAGATTAGAGGTTGCAAGTGTTCCCTCAGAGATGTCATTTCGTATGCTCTCCTTGCTGTAGGTTAGTGGAGTGTGTGTTTGGCTAGACCGGGCTGTTGGGCAACGAGGCCTGTTGCAAGAAAGGATTTGCATTTGCTGCTTGCTAAGGTTCTATGCGCACAGCCTGCGTCAGCTGCTTGGAGAAAAGCGTGACCATGTGCCAGCATCGACATTTTCGATTGATGGTATGGCTTGTTCTGTTTTCTTGTTTTGGATGTTTTCCCTGCCACCACTTGCATAGCTGTGTCTTCGATTCGTTTTACAGTTTGTTTTCCGGTGTTCTTGGTGGAATACGTTGTGGATGGCTGCGCTCTGCAAGGAGCAAAGTTTGCCTTAGATTGCAAAACAACAGCAGCAGCAGCAGCTACAGTCACCCCACTTTAAATCAGCTGGAGCTGTTTACATGATATTGTTGGAATCCGCTTTTGGCGAGGAGAGCCTCACTATCAAGGTCCTCAAGGTTGCACGGTCGCTAATTTAGTGTGAGTATGTTTTGAACACTTTTGAACGTATATAGTTCGTTTCTTGGATATGGATGTTACCACTCTAGCTGGCATAGCTGAATGAAGCATGCGCGTGCTTGAATTTTTCAGCATCAGAACGACGTGTTTCAAGTCAAGGCCCGAGCATGTCAGCTCTTGTGAGCTGTTCAGACAGAGGTATGTTTTGCTTGCTAGTGGCGGCTAGTAATCTGTCCAGTTTGGGCACGGATGGGCATGCAAAGAGGTGGCCATCACATCACACTGGTGTCCCTATCAGGCACTCAGCGTCTCATCTTCTCCGAAGGTCCCACATTACGAAGCAGGTGAGTCGTGCAAGCACATCTCAAACCCACATGGGTCGTCTGCCCATGTTTAGTAAGTTCCTTCAGCCCTGATCACTTGACGCAGGATTCTTTGCAAGGGTGTGCCCTCCCCCTCTTTGGTCCAATTAAGGCAGCAAGCAGCACTCCTCCTTCTTTAGCCACACCCCTAGATAGATAAGACACGGAGAGATAGGTAGATGGCTCGATATTCAGTCTATCCCCGAACCCTTAACCATCAAGGCTGGGGGACTGACTAGTTCCACGGCAGTGTACTTGGAGGCTCAGGGGTAGTTATAAGTGGAGTTATAAGTTCCCGAATATGGGTTATAAGTATAGTTACCCTATACTCATAACCCTACTTATAAGTACCCATGAACCTCCAAGTGACTAGTTCTACGACAGTGTAGCCATAAGTTTCTGTGCGGCTCTCGGCTCGGATCCCCTACTGGTCTCAGCATCGCAGCCACCGAATCATCGCGCGGTGCTCAGGGGTTTGGAGCTTTCGTGGGTTCAGGGGTTTAGGGGTTTGGGGTTAGAGACCTCCTTCAAAAAGGCTTTAGGAGATCGAAAACTCTACGGTGGTCCGGGGTCTAGTCCTGAGCCTTTTTTGCAAGTCCTGCAAGCTCATACAGCATACATGTCTAGACCCTAAACTGTCTGGTGCTTAGTAGGGAATGGGGGAATGGATCCCAAAAGAAGTCCCTATACAATCCCCAATGCTAGTCTCCGTGGGCCATTCCCCCAGTCCCTACTAAGCACCAGACAGTATACACTAACTGTGAATCCATCTTCGCCTGCCGTGTCCGAGTTGCGAAAGTCCAACTGAGGATCTTCATGGCGAGAGCCCTCCGCTATGCAGTGCTGGTCATAGCCCGGAGCCTAGTATAGGGGCTTAAACAATTACCAAGACCATTGTGGGGGTTCCTTATTATAGTAATAGTATAAGGGCCCCCCATCTAATTATTAAGGCCCCTATATGTAGGGGCCTTAATAGTTAGAATAGGGTTTTGGGGTCCAGTATACTAATAATCACAATGAGGAGCCCCCACAACAGTATTGGCAATTATTCAGGCCCCTCTTTTAAGGCCATGCAACGTCAACTTGGACTCCCCATCGACCCAGAGCCTCCAATATCCTTTCATTAAGGAATATTCCTTAAAATCATAGTAGGATGAATCCCTACTAGTATGATTTAAGGTCTATTCCTTAATTAAGGGATCCGGGCATAGAGCCCGGGATCAAAAAAGGGATCCTACCAGTCTCTGGGGAACTTGCCCTAAATCCTAAACCCTGAACCCTAAACCCTCAATCCTATAATAAGGGGACCTTATGACAAGCTTGCAAGATGCAGGTATATTCCTCAATTAAGGGATCCTACGAGTCTTTGAAGAACTGGCATGACCCATAATAAGGAATCTACCATAATTCCCATAGTTTAGGGCCCTTAAAGTCATGCAGGGTTTATATCATCAACCGTAGGAGTCTTTGGAGAACTGGCAAGATGTCATGGTAGGATCCCTGTTATGGTTTATCCTATTATGGTTTATCCCTTATCTTATTCCTTAATTAAGGGATCCTAGGTGTCTTTGGAGAACTTGCGTGACCCATAATAAGGAATATACCATAATTCCCATAGTTTAGGGCCCTTAAAGTCATGCAGGATTTATATCATCAACCGTAGGAGTCTTTGGAGAACTTGCAGGCCTCGGGCTGCATCGACGAAGGCGCAGCTGTCGCTGGAGCGCGTGTCGAGATCGAGGCTGCCGTTGTCCTACTTGGAGGGTCGGGGGACTTAGTAAGTACAGTAGAAGCCCAAAAGTTGGAAACCCAATAGCCTCAACCCTTAAGAGTAATGTATGGGGGATCCCAGCACTAATTGTCCTTAATCCGGTTTCCAACTTCTTGGGGTTTGCTGTAGGTAGTAAGTAGACTTATAAGTACCCTAAAAGGGACCCTAATTGGGGTTATGGTACTTATAAGTCCCTAAAATAACCAGTTACTAAGTCCCCCTAAACCCTAAACCCTCATAGAATCCCTATAGATCCCTCTAAAGGGGCCCTTAAGGAACCCATTACTAAGTCCCTTGACCCTCCAAGTCGGCTCCATGTTTGGGGACGTGGAGTAATGTAGGGGCCTCAAGAGTTGGAATTGGGTTTTGGGGGCGATTATACTGTGTATATATACATATATATATATATATGTGTGTGTGTATATTGTGTATGTATATATATATATATACACCGTATAAGAGGGAACCCCCAAAACCCCTGTCTAAGTATTGTATTAAGGCCCCTACACTACCTGGGCACTTCTGAAGGACTGCTTCTGCCTTGGCTGCGGTCATAATGTAGGGGCCTAAGCAATTACCTATACTATTTTGGGGGCTTCCTTGTTATACTTATAGTATAATGGGCCCCAAAACACTATTCTAGGAATTAAGGCAAGGCCCCTATGCTATAGTACCCACAATAAGTTGGCCCTAATTGTCGGAAATGCCCACGCATTCAAGCGGAGCCCGATAGATGGCTTGTCGTTCAAGCATGCTACGATGCGCTTCGAGTCGAAGCTCTGAGATTTGGGGGTTTCCGAAAATCAGGGGTACCTTATGTTGGTATCCTTATAGTAATAAGGATCCTTGCTGGAGCGAACCAGCAGGCATAGAAGCAGAAGCTACTAGTGGGGTAGCTAATCCCCTAGCAGAGTCTTCCCAACTGCCCATGGCTCACTCGAACACGGAGGTTTTACACGCAAGCAAGAGACCAGAAACATGACTAGGGCATGACACCAATGTTGATGCATGTGCAAATGTGATTAAAATGCATTGCTCAAGGCTGTACTGTTCGGGCCTAAAGAGCAAAAGAGGAAAACGTTTCACATGTACACGTGGCGTGAGCTACAAAGGTGGCATGCTTTTCAGCACTCCTCCTTCGCAGCCCCGCCAGGCAGTTGCGACCTACTTGCTACTGCAGGTCAACCCGTCAGGGTGACGCCATGCCTACCCTGAACTACCTGGCAAAAGCTGGGCCAACTGCCCTCACTCTGCGAGGGCTCTCAAGGCACCTCGTGCGGAAAAAGACACAGCTGCGGATGAAGCTCACTGAAAGATCCAACCCGTTAGGGTGGAGTAGTTCCTACCCTGTGCTGTGCTGGGTGTGGTCGGCAGCACTCCGGTGGCACTGCTGGCACACTTGAAACTCAACAAACCTGTGCGAGTGGGCGAGCGTGGAACAGGTCTTAGTGCGGTGGAGCTTGGTCCCCTCGGGTGTTGCAAAGTAGCGCGTTGGTGCTCCACCTGCCTGCTCACGCGTGCGAGTTGTTTGTGAGGGGCGGTGTCTGGGCACTGCAGCAACAGACTGCGAGCTTGCTGCCTCCTCACGTGCAGAGATCTCGGCCTGGATGGCCTGCGCAGTTTGATCTCGAAGGCGCTGTAACTTACGCGCCTTGCGGGGGCTCAGGGACAACACGGGTGTCCCTGCCTTTCGGCGGGAGATGACGCCTTGAAGGCACCACTTGCAGAACTCCCACACTGCAATGAAGCAAATGCCAATGCAAATGATGGATACTGCCAACATCAAATCTGCATCAAGCGACACAGGGAGAGACAAGTCTTCTTCCTCGTCTGCTGCCTGGCTAGCAGCGCCTATGACTATGACTTGCAGGAAGAAAACAAGCCTGAATAAAGCACTCACCGGCTGATCACGTTGACCAACTGCACTTGCTTCCGCAGTGCGGAACAGGTTAAACCCGAGCACGCTCCAAAAGGCTGCTGTCACAAGGCCTTTCGGTACTGCGGCAAAACACAAAAGTTTGAGCGGCACACTTCCTGCGAAAAGTTGTTGGGACTCCTCCTGGACTGGAGGTCCTGGTACTGTGCCACTAAAACCAAGCAACCTAACGCACGGCTCCTCCTCAACCCAGTACGGTACTGGAGTGCCTGTAGCTGCTGAGGGCAGTGTCCTGAACACGCCGGTGCAAAGTGAAGGCAAGCTTATGCGAAGGACGACAAGTACGAGCAGCCACAACAACAGTTGGAAAAGGAGGTTTGCCGTCAGACGTCGGCGTGTGTTGTGGGTCCCACCCTCCCGGAAGGCGGTTGCTGGGACTGCAACACTATTGGGCACTGTGGTTTCGTGCTCTCCTCCTAGCTTGGTGGCTAGGACCTTGTGGACGGTTGGCTGGACGTCACGCGGCCCAAACCCACACAACGCCCCAGAACCATCTACACAAAGTTCACCCGTACACCACTGCGGTAGATCTGGTATTGCTGTATACCCATCTCTTCCGAGTGGGGAATGTGGCAGGCGCGTCCAATCCAAGTCATAAACGCTTAAATCCCTGATGCCATCGCTGATATTGCATCCTGCGGGATTGTCGTCATCCCCATCGCTGGCGTCCAACCTGAACCACAACGTGTGGGAACCACTACGCTGGGAACCATCCTCCACTGGGCGTTCAGTGGTATGAGGGCTCAAGCGTGAGTGAGATGCAACCGAGGGGTGCGAAGTTGGGGATGTGTTGCGTTCAATCCCACGTCGGGTCACCGTGCACTTGGATGATCGCGCGGGGTTATAGAGCTTACTAGAGATTAACTTACTTATGTAAGAGTTAAGCCTAGGATTACAGTGTTTATAACTAATAACATAAGCGGTTACAGACGTGTTTCCTAATAAGTTAGGTAAACACTTATGTAACAACTTCGGCAAGAAGCTAAGTACTTAGCATAAGCCACCTAAGTACTTAGCATTTGCCCAGAACCAGGATATGCATGAATGACTCAAGGGGTCTGAATAAGCAAAAGACAGAGAGTAAGCACAGCAAGCCATCAGAGACACAAAGAAAACAGTTGCAAAAGCAGCATGCTCGCAGGAAGATGTGCACAATTTCAGGCCGAAACCTCTTGAAAAGCATTGGCAAAAAGCCGGAGCCCGAAAGCTTTTAGCCGATTGAAGCCGATAGGCAAAAGCCGCATGCTCACAGGAAGATGTGCACAATTTCAGCCCGAAGGCTCTTGAAAAGGATTCGCAAAAGGCCGGAGCCCGAAGGCTGTTGAAGCCAATTGCGAACGATAGGCTGTTCAGAACCGATCTCATGGCAAAGTCAACCCAAACCCGTGGTTCACGGTTGCATGGGTTTAGGAATTTAGGGTTGCATGAAAAGTTGTCCGAACAGTAGGAATCACGGAACCAGACACGATGAACAACGACCATCGATTCTATTACCCTGGCAATGTGAAAGCTATTCCTGCCTTCTTTTTTTCCAGCCAGCAGCTCACTTGGATTGCCGATGCGGCAGGGGAATGGCTACCCGCATATAAACATCGTCGAGGCGGCTGTAGGATAAAGAGCTTTTGATCTCGGCCGTGCTCACCACCATTGTCTGTTCAGACTTCTTGCAGGTGCAGCTATGCTGGTCCTTCTTCAACGTCTCAAGAAAGGAGACCAAAGAAAACAACTCCCCATCGAAGGAGCAATGAAACCAAACTTCGGCAATCTGCATTCCGTGCCGCATGAGCACCAAGTCGCCTCGATGACAATGGCCTGCAGGCTCCAGCTGAACTGAAGAACAAGTGAAGATTTCCTCGGCCTGGTACCCCATGCATTCAGTGATAAACTGAACCATCTTGTTGGGGGCCTTGCACTTCTGCACTAGCTTGCCAGCTGTTCCAAAAAGGTCGGGTTCTTGAAGGTCTGCAATGTTGTGGCCCAGCAGGTCCAGCATCACCGTCTTTTCAAAGCCTTGTGTATTGAAAATCCGACCTCCGTACCTTTTGGCGACTTTGTGTTTACGTTCTTGGACGAAGCAGCTGGGTAAAAAGCCCCAGCGGGCTAATTGCCGAGGCATGTGGATGATCCAATGGAACTTCGGGTGGAAGTCCTCCCTCCAGTCTGCAGTCTGACATGCTTCCAGGAAAGCTGTAATAGCTGTTGCAAGCATGGTCGGGGTGATCGTTCCCAAGGCTGTGGCCTGAAGCAACTCCAAGACATCCACCAAGCAAGCATAAGCAGCTATCTGCTCCTTGCAGATCCCCAATGGCCCGATGACTTGCAGCAAAAAAAACAGAAAAGGAATCATAACTGACAGGCCTTCGGAAGCAGTGCACTTGAAAGTGTTGGCATCTTTGTTTCCCTGCTTTCGCTTCGGTGCGAAAAGCGAAGGAAGATTCTCAGATCGTGCTTTCGGCAAGACCCAGCTTTTCATGTACTCACAGCACGTATGGTACACGTCCCGTCCCAGTTGCTGCTCCACCTGTGTCAGGACCAGCCACATAACTCGATTCCTCAATGCATTGAACCGAGGATACGAAAAGAAGGAACTTTTCGGGAGTATAGGGGACCTTACTCTACAAATGCGGAACCTGCATAAAAGCCGAGAGTCCAGATGCCCTTTACGAAAAAAGCATGCATATAGTCATGGCACCATTGAGACACGGGCTTGACCAGGTTGCAGAGGTCTGGCTGATAAATGAGACAATGCTCATTCCAGACAAGTCCGGAGGCTTGCTCCCACACGGCGAAATTCGCCTTGGACAACGTCGCTTTTTTCTGCACCAATGTAACGATGGACTGGGCGAACGACGAATCCGTGGTGAGCACCAGCTGATCTTCTGCCGTGGCTTGGTTCATGATGACTGTGGCCTCGTTGTCCACCGAGCCGTTCGCCACGACATTGCACAATGCACAGCATCTCGTCCCGCCGTCTCCTTTCACTGAAAACAGCATCTTATGTGCCTGCCCATCTTGGCAGAAGGCACCGAGCTCGAACCTCATGCGGTGCAAGGTGCCATCTGGTGCCTTGAGCTGGAAACCCAGGGACGGATCCACGAAGTCATGCCTGAAAATGCTCCGTAGAACAATTGCAGCCAGTTGGCTCGCCCCACCAGGCATGTTGGCCACAGCTTTGGATCGCATGATTGTCATTGGTAGCCAGCTTTGTTCTTTGGACAGGGCATGAGCTTTGAAGTCCATGAAACTGATGTAGACCGCCCATAGTTTGCGAGATGCATCGGCAGCAAGTGGGTTGCCACAGTTTATTTCGTCTGTGTAATATACCAGCTTCGAAGCCTGCCGGCTGCTTGTACTCCTCTGCACCAAAACCCGGAAGCTGTCGGACACAGTCCACACTGCTTGCAACAAGCTGAAGAAATTGGCTAAGAGGACTTGCACTGGGCAACCATCCAAACCTTCTACAGTCACTGTTTGCAGCATGGGGCCATATGCAGAGTGCTGACACACAGTGTGCTCTGTTGCTTCTTTAATATGGCGGCGGCCCTTCAACTCCGGGAGGCCACTTGCCTCAATCTCTTTCAGTAAGCCCGCCATGGCTGATTTCGACATGGCCGGCACCTTTCGTCGCACATCCTCCAGCTTCTGCAGTTTAGAAGCCCGATCCATGGTCGGCAAAGGCGGCTGCACACACAGGATTCTATACTGGCCATGCACTCGTGCAACTGTTAGGCTTCTCGGCTCATCAAGCATGAAAGGATGGACTTGCAGCAAGAAAGCTCTGCAGCACATCACACACATGCCGTCTTTGTAGCCCGAAAGCTTTTCACCGCCCGAGATTCTGGCATGCATGCGAGGGCATGCATGTAAGAAGCTGCTACTTTTTGCTTCTGCGAGCCACCCCATGCGACGTCCATGGCAGCCGTTGCAGCTGAGCAGCTTTTGCCAGGTGTCAACAGCCGGAACATGTTCCGACACCCCATGGACCTTAACACATTTCAGTGTTGTTGGTCCGGACCCTGCTGCCCTTGCACACCAAAGATAACAGCATGCAAAGGTTCCAAAACACACACAGCAGCTCACTGGTGGCTTCGCCACTTCTGGACTGCTGCCTGCCTGGCCTTCCGGCCATATGCCTTTTCATCTTCTGCCGAGTAGCCCAGGGCTTTTGCCATCAGGCGAGCTCTGTGGTAGTGGCTGTCGGTGTAGCTCTCCCGCATTTTCATCAATTGGGCCTTTGTCGGGCTTGGCGGATTGTAGTCGGGGAGCTCGCCGCCTTTGGAAGTCTTGGCCTTGGCAACCGCCTTCTTGGTGGCCTTCGCCTTGCCCTTGGCTTTGGCTTTAGCCTTTGCTTTGGCCTTTGCTTTGCCAGCCACCGCAGCGGCCTCTTTGGCCTCTTTCTTGTTCTTCTGCAAAGTCAAGTAGAGCTTCTCCTCGATGCTTTTATTGCGGGGCTTGGTTGTGTCGGGGTCCTGATCCTCGCAGTCCTTTGGCACCTCCTCCTCCTCCTCCTCCGAAGCCTCCGCCTCCTCAATAGCAGGCTCTTGTTCCTTTGGACCCTCAATCGCCGGAAGCCCTGCAGTTTTCGCCGGCGAAGTGTTCTTCGTCTCTCCGGCTGCCAGCATTTGCAAGCCTTTCGGCCGAAACTGATTCGTCGAGGCTTGGCGGCCGCCGGTGATGTTCACAGCCGGCTGCCTGTCGCACTTGCCCATGGCCTCGCACATGTTTTGACACATGTTCATCATCATGCCCATCATGCCCATCATTGGGTTGCCATCCGCGGAGCCCGGAAAGCTCTTGAGCTGCTGCATGCCGCCGGCCGAACTGGTAGCTTCTGAGCTCTTCCTCTTGCCACCAACCTTGGAGCTGCTTGTCCGAAGAAACTTCAAGCCACGAATGTGGGCGAACTGCTCCACGTGTCGAGGCTCCGGCTTATGCTCCTTGTAGCTGTGATCGTAAAGCTTTTCAGGCAGTCTGCTCGGGTTCTCCGGGTAGTTGATGACAATCGGCAGGTGTGCAGGGCAAGCCTCCGTCGTCTGAAAGCAAGCCTTGATCTCAACAGAGATCTTGTGCAGCTCATCTTCCGACGGACATGATGTCAATGTGCATGCCAGGAGTGCCACACAAGCACCGACTGTTTTTTCCGACATGGATCTCAGCCCAAGCTTTTTCAGCCGATCCACCAAAAGCTTTTCCTTGGTCCACCAGCCAGAAGAGCTATCCTCTAGCACTGCCCAATCAGGCCCTGTGACGAACAGGGGCAAGTGCACGACGGTCTGTGGCTTCAAAGACACCACGGTAGTCGCCTGCTTCTGGTCTGCCTCCCCGAGCAACGAGTCGACCTTGTCCGAGATGGCCTCTTCCATGTCTTCGGGCAAAGACACCGACTTCAAGTGCTCTTCCATCCGGATGGCCTCGGTGGCGGTGAGGCTGCCCAAGCTTTCGAGTTTGAACTGGATATTCTTCAAGAGCTTGGTCTTCATGCTCTCCTTTACCGATGACCTTTTCTTAATCAAAGAGCTGGTATCGGAAATCTCGTTGAGCACGTCCGAAAAACACCACTTGGCCATGGCCTCCAAAGTGCTTAAGAAGCACACACACACACAGCTCCGAAGAAGAAACTTGAAAAAGCTTTTCAGCCCAAATGGCTCTTCCGGAGCAGCAACAATCTGGCGACAGAAGAATGAATCTTGTCAGACGAGGGAAAAGGCGACTCAGGAGACCTTTGGCAAACAAGACAAGAACAAAACATGTCTTTCAGCCCGAAGGCTTGTTCCTACTTGCAACAGGAACCAGAAAGCTTTGTTGTTTTCCAGCCCAGAGGCTTCTGACAGTCCTTTGAGCCCGAAAGCTTCTCACTACTTGCTGGCAGAGCCCGAAGGCTTTTGTGAGGACTTCCTTTTTTCGAGGCAGGCTCTCGACTGTGCTTTGTCGTGCACGTGGTGCTCGTGGTGAAAGGAGGAGCAGGATCCCCGAAACAAAACAACAGCCATCTTCTAGAGTTCCTCTGCTTAAACAAGCACCCCTTTGGATCCTGCTGTAAGCAGTGCAACCCCAGATGCCAGCTTCCTTTCAACTAAGGTTAAAACCCCTTTGTTTCTAGCATACCAGTTAGAAACTGGATCCCTAGGCTGGCATGGGGCTTCGGCTAAAGCTAGGAGCTACGGGCTATAGAGCGACCTGTACCTGGGGCTGCGGCCTTTTTGAAACTAGCAGTGTATTTCTTACCTATGACAAAACTACCCGCTTGAGGGTTTTGGGTTTTGGGCTTCAAATCTAAGGTTTTGGGTTTGGGGCTTTGCCTCAGGGTTTGAGGTGTGGGGTTTCGGGGTAAGGGTTTATTTAGTCGGGTGTAAGGTTGGTGGTTCAGGTCTGATACATATATATATATATATACATACACACCACACTACCATTATAAGTTAGCTGCAAGCCCCATCTATCACTTAAGCAAAAAGAGCTCGAAAGCTTTTCTACATTCTAGAGCAGCATCATTAGCTAAGAGCTGATCCACAGTAGTAGTAGTACTAGTACTAGTAGTAGTAGTAGTAGTAGTAGTAGTAGTAGTAGTAGTAGTAGTAGTAGTACTAGTACTAGTAGTAGAGTAGTAGTAGTGGTTGTTGTTGTAGAAGTAGTAGTGGCAGCAGTAGAAGTAGTAGTAACAGTGGTAGTAGTAGTAGTAATAGTAGTAATAGTAGTATAGGAATCCCAGCAATAATAACAATGACAGTAGTAGTAGTAGTAGTAGTAGTAGTAGCAGTAGTGGTAGTAGTAGTAGTAGCAGCAGCAGTAGTAGTAGTAGTGCTAGTACCACTAGTAGTTGTAGTAGTAGTCGTTGTGCTAGTAGCAGTAGTAGTCGTCGTCGTACTATTAGTGTCATAGTAGCAGTAACCGTCGTGACAGTGGAAGTAGTAGTAGTAAGTAGTAGTGGTAGTGATAGTGGTAGTAGTAGTAGTAGTAGTAGCAGTAGTAGTAGTAGTAGTAGTAGTAGTAGTAGTCGTTGTTGTTGTAGAAGAAGTAGTGGCAGCAGTAGGAATAGCAGTAGTAGTGGTAGCAGTAGTATTAATAGTATAGGAATCATAGCAATAATACAAATGATAGTAGTAGTAGTAGTAGTAGTAGTAGTAGTAGTAGTAGTAGTAGTAGTAGTAGTAGTAGTAGCAGTAGTAGTTTGTCACTAGTAGTACTAGCAGTAGTAGTAATGCTAGTCTTCGTCGTGGTAGTGGTATAGTAATAACAAAATTAATAGCAATCTTATTGGTAATGATAAAGAAGGTTTTGTTGTTCGTTGTACCACTAGTCCCAGTAGTAGCAAGAGTACGAGGAATCAGTGGCAGTAGTAGTAGTAGTAGTAGTAGTAGTAGTAGATGTAAAACTATTACTAGCAATAATTCTTAATCCTAGTATTGATGATAGGAGCAATAGTAGTGATCATCATAATAATAGTATTTTAAGGTATACAAAATTAGGTTTGGTTTAGCAAAAAAATAAGATTTTGGAGCTTTTTTTTTGTGGCCGCGCTTTTTTTTTCAATTCAAATTTTGAATTGAAAAGCCTTCGCCCTTTAAAAAACAAAAAAGGTTTTTTTGAATTAACAAATCAGCCCAATAATTCAAATTTTGAATTAATGGTTAATTTTTTCTATATCTAATTCAAAATTTGAATTAGATTGACAATTGTTTGTATGTAATTCAAATTTTGAATTAAGGTATAGGTTCCTTTGTATTATTAATTCAAATTTTGAATTAGAAACACAAAAATACAAACAGTAATTCAAAATTTGAATTGAGGTTAAGGTTTTGGAGATATTAATTCAAATTTTGAATTAATGTGTCTGTGGCTGCCAATAGATATAATACAAAGGTCACCAATAATAATATAGAGACATAGAGCCTATGGCTTATCAGCTCAAAGCTACTGATGCTGCATTCTGGGCTTCAAATGGCCCTGATCATCAGTCTTCGACTGGTTCGAAGACGATGCACCAGCACTACTCTGGAAGTAGTAGTGCCAGTCCCAACCATGCCGCCTCAGGGTCTCCACATGCTGGTCCAGGGCCTTGGCAAAGATCGGTGTCTCGCGAAACCTGAGCTAAGGTAGTGGGTTTAGGGTTTCCGGTTTAGGGTTTGGGGTTTAGGGTTTAGGGTATAGGGTTTAAAAATTTTGGGAGTTATGTTTTAGGTGGCTTAAGGTTCTATTTGTTTTCTATGGGCCCCAAATCTTCTGTGAGGTCTAGCCCGAAGACTTTTGCAACACTAGCCCGAAGGCTTTTAGCCCGAAGGCTTTTAGCCCGAAGGCTTCTAGCCCGAAGGCTTTCTGGAAAACATCTGCCCTGTAGCCCGAAGGCTGCTAGCCGAAGGCTTCTTCTGTAAATGCAAACGAGCAACACACCGACGAGTCGGGCCATCTCCTTCTCGTCCCTCACCTCCGCTTGCCCAGCCAGTGCGACCGCCTTGTTCATCCACCTGAGCTGTCCATTGTTCTTGAAAGGCTGCAAGGTGTCGGGGTCTAAGCTTCCAAATTGTCTTAATCGGGTTTTACGTAGGTCGAGAGCTAATAGGGTTGTCAGGGTGATTAAGGGTTCCTGGCTTTTGCAATTAAGCGACACCGAGGGTTTCTCGCTCCTGGTGAAAGCCCGGAAGCTGTTGTACACAAACCATGTAGGGCTTAGGGTGTTGTGTGTTGCAACTATTGCAATGTCTTACACCTAAGCTGGACTTAAAAACTTGCAATCTGTTCAAAGCCAAGCATCCCTGACTTCAGGTAGCCAGAGACGTCGCCGTGCGACTCTGACCAGCACATCGCCCTGCCACTCGTCGCGGAAGCCTCCTGAGCCGCTGCCGCCCCAGCCTCCTTCTGCTGGGCCTCCTCTTCCTCCTTCTTCTCATCCGGCTTGGGCTCCTCAGCCTTGGGCTCCTCCGCCTTCGGCTCCTCCGCCTTGACCTTTTGCTGCGGCTCTGTGCTGGTGGCGGGCTCGGCAAACGGCTCCTGCATGCCGTCCTCGTAAGCCCGAGGGCCCATGGCCAGGGTAGTGGCTTGTTGGCCCTGCCAGTCCACCTGCCGGTAAGCCGGTGGCTGCTGAGGCTCAGCCTTCGGCTTCTTCAGCTCCTCCTCCTGGTGCTGCTTGCCCGCCAGCTGCGACAGCTGCCTCTTGAGGTTCTTGATCTCCTCGTCCCTGGACTCCAGGGTCTTCACAGCTTCGCGGACGTTGTGCATGAGCTTCTCGTTCTTCTGCTGGTGGGCACTCACAGTGGCATAGAAAAAGCCATCCAGGCTTTTCAAGACGAACACCTGGGAGTGCACCTCGCTGCTCCACGGCACGTAGATCTTGTCCGGCACGTAGTAGCCCGAGTTGGCATAGAACTGGTCCTTTGCCGTGATCCGTGCCCACACCTTGCACTGCGACCACTCCTCCTGGCTGTTCGGGTCGCTCACCACCTTGGAAGCCAGCCACCAGCAGTGAAAGCGGCGGCTCCACCAGAGCAGCACCGACTCGGAGCTGTCCGACAGCTTCCACACATTCATCTCGTTGTACAACAGGCCGCAGCAGTAAAAGAAGCCACGGCAGCTGTCCAGGAGCTCCCTCCTGGGTTCAATCGCTGTTGGTTTCTTTTCCAGCCCGGAGGCTTTTAGACAGCATAAATACTTCTTCAGGCCTATGAACTTTTGGGGTAGCAGGGTTTGGGTTTGCTGGTGTCGGGTTTCAGGTTTTGGCTTTAGGCTTTAGGCTTTCGCCTTTAGGTTTAAGGGTTTAGGGTTTAGGGTTTAGGCTGCAGGGTTTTGGGGGTGAAGTTGCTACAGAGAAGAGAAGCCCGGAGGCTATTGAGATTAAAAAACATGATCAAATGCAGCCACTGAACTCCGCCGCCGTGTAGTTCTGGACGGCCTCCGTCACGTCCAGCACCAGGCAGCTGCTCAGCTGAAAAATCGGCTGCCCATGCACAGCCGACAGCTCCTGGTTCAGGCCATCCACAGGAAAGCCCGCCATGGCTCGCTCAAAGGCTCTAAAACCTTTACCTTTAGTCTTCTGCACTGCTGCCTAAGCTGTGGCTGTTGCTCTTGCTGCCCCTTGTCAGTGTTGTGTTGCACAGCAGCCTCCTGCTCCTCTTGGCCCCAGGGCCGCTTGAGCGAGGCCACTTCTGCACGGAAAGAGGAAATTCTCTATAGTAACTTTGGGTGGTATGGGCTCGAAGGGTTAAGGTTGCATAGCCCGAGGGCTGCTACAGCAAAGCCCGAAGGCTTTTCCTCCATGACACCACAAAGTGAAAGTTTCCAACCCTCAGCCTTGCAGCCTAAGCCCTAAGCATGAGCCTTCAAACCGAAACCTGCAACCCTGGAAAACCCGAAGCAAGGAACTCTGAAGCTTCAAATCATAACAAAAGAAACAAACAGTCTGAACCTTTGCCCCCCCCAAGCCCGAAAGCTTTCATTGAGCCCGAAAGCTTTTGTTATCCCGTTTTCCATCTGAAGCCCGAAGGCAATTTTTGAGCCCGAAAGCTGTTATTACTTGGAAACGAGCTCGAAAGCTCCTGAAACAAGTGGCTTGCGGTTGTCGAGAAATTTTGCTCTTCCGGGACAGTTCGTGCTTGGAAAGGCAGTTTGCCAAACTATTCTGTACATGCAAAAAAACTTTCTGCAAGAAGTGTAGTTGATGGAGCTCTGGAAATAGATCCAGACGAGCATCAGCAGCACGACAAAGCACGAGTGCTGCTGCAGGCATCAGTCGCTCTGGCAACTCGAGTCATCCGTCTCCTTCTTGGCGGCCTTCACATGCTTCCCGGTCCTCCGATAGGCGCGGCTCTGGACATCGAAGGAGAGCTCGTCCTTCATGATTAAGTTGAAGAGCCTCTCCAGCTGCTCGGCCTCGAGGACCACCGACAAGTCCTCCCGGGTCCACTTCACAGCCTTGACGGTGACGATGCCACTTCCATCCGGCAAGTCCAAGTCAAGCTTCTTAGTCTCCACGGCCTGAACCTTCCGTTTCTTCTTTGGACTGGCCCTTTCGTCGTCTCCAAAAAGCTTCGGCTTCTCGTCCTTGCTCTCGATCAAGCCGAGCTTGCAGTTCCGACCATCCACGAGCTGCTTCAAAGCAGTGCTGCCCTTCAAGGACGGGTTGCGAATCTTCTTGTCGCAGCCGAGCAAGATGCACAGACCATGGCAAGACGGCCGCAGTCGCACGAACTCTTCGCCGTCTTCCTGAAACAGAAAGCCTGGAGGCACCACCCAGCTTCTGCCCTGGAACTCAAGCTTCACCTGCTTCACGATTGTGACCATGATGCAAGGTGGACGTGTCCTATTTTTTGAACAGGGTGGCCGGCAACACACTTCCGTCATGAAACCTTGCATGGTTGGTTGTATACGACTATAGACTCTGCAGCTTGAGGAAACTCCACATGATCAGCTGTGCCAGCTCTGTGAGCCCCGATATTGCGAGAAAAGCGCCAATTTTTTTGCAAGGGCTGAAAGCCAGGCCGAATCTACAGCCCTAAAGCTTTTATTGATGCATGCACGGGCAGTTGAGACCACATGGGCACCTTTATTGCTGCTGCGAAGGAAAGTCGCAAAAGGTCAGCGGCTCAAAAGGAAAGTCGCAAAAGTTCAGCGGCTCAAGCCAGCGAGATGCATCCGGAAAGGCTTGCTTTTAGAGCTCAGTAGGAACATTTGGTTTCTTGCACTGCAGCCCAGAGGCTTTTCCAGATGCATCTCACTTCCGGGCTTTCTTTTTGGGGCCAGGCCCCGAGGATGCAGCTGGATCTTCAGCCTCTGACTCTTGCAGCACAGGCATGGTCAGCAGCTCATGCTTGTCGATGGCTTTGGGATTGCTCAAGCAGCTAATCTGCAAGCCACCCACAGACTTCTCCTTCCAACCGAAATGCGGATTCGCATCCGGCTTCATGAACCAAAAAGGCGCCGTGCAGCCGCTGCTGGGCTTCTCAGCCGTCGCTGGCTTGAAAGCCTTCGGAGCAAGGACGAAGTAGGTAACTCCTTGGAAGACTACCTCACCCCAATGCTTAGCCTCAGGCTTCTTGATGCTGATCTGCTGGGGGCTGTCCGTGCAAGGCACGAAGGTCAGCTGGTGAGCGGGGATCTTCTGCAAGCTGTAGGCTGTTCGCGACACCGGATCAACAGCGATCATCTTCCACAAGTTCTTGTGCTCGACCTTCGTCGTGACATCGAGCAGCTGGCTGTAGACAGTCGCGAAAGCAGCTTGCTGTTTGCTTGCAGCCCCAGGATGATGGTCTTTCGCAAGAGCTGCATCCAGCAAGTACGGTGCCGAGTTCTTCGTTGGCCGCAGCCTCTTGTGGCACGTCCACGTCTCCACTTGGATCGTCGACTCATCGAAGAGCTCTCTCTTCTTCAAGGTGAGGAAGTCCTGGCCCATAGCTTGCAGCTCATACATCTCGCCATCCATCTGGTAGAGCTTCCCCACAGCCAGCTCCAGCTTCTGCTGAGCCTGCCACAAAGGGTCGTAGGCTTGACCCAAGCTGACGAGTCCAGGCCCAGTAGTGCTCGAAGTAGCCGCTGCACTGCTTGCAGAAGTCGCCGGCCCAGTCTTCTGCTGGAACTCATCAAAGATCGCATCCAAGTCCTTGAACTCTTTGGCCTCTCGGCCCATCTTCCTTAGAAATCCGAATGAAAGCCCTATGAAAACCAGGGTTTAGGGTTTAGGGCTTTAGGCTTTAGGTATGGTGAAGTCCAAGGTACTGCTTGCCCAGGATGTGTAGAGTCATCCGGATGCAGGCGAAAGCAAATCTTCGAGCTGCTTGAAGATCCGGCAGTTGGCTGGCTGTGGCTTGCCATGCCTGGTAAAGCAAAGACTCCATCTTTGCCACCTCAGCCTTGAGCTTCTTAAGCTTGTCAAAGTCGGCTTTCACCAGCAAACGTGCGAAGCCGTCCGAGATTTTGTGGGTTGGCGAAGTGAACTGTGTCGTGAGGAAGGCCAGCCTCACCAAGGGCTTGTCTGCCGGCAGAAACTGGGTGGAGACCGCGAACCCCCAGAAGTCCTCGCCCACATTGCACTGCTCCCCGAACTCGCGGCTGAACAAGCTCAGGAAAGCGAGGAAGCGGCCCTTGTCGGAGTACTCCGCCAGCCATTTGGCTATTGATGGAGCATACCTGCTGATGCCGCTGCTGCCAGGAGGGCAAGCTTCCTTGACGAGCTTCTCGACCGTCGGGTCCTTCATGCCTTTGGAGAGCTCCTCCATGTGCAGGGCAATCTCAAGCTCGAGCAGGCTCTGGAAAGCGGTGTTACTGGCATTGAGAGCTTTCTCTGCCAAGCGAGGCAAGTCTGGCCATTGATGCTCTGCAACGGAGGACACGACGAGCCAATTCCATCCATCGTCCAGCATCTGCTTGAACTCCGGGTCCCTGGAGAGGCTCTCCCTGTTCAAGCAGCCACCCTGGTCCTGGAGCACCGGCTGCGGTGTTCGGCAGCTGCTCCAGGCGGCCTTCGCGAACTGCGACACGTGCCCACTGGAAACTGTCAGGAACCTCTCAGAGCGGCTCACTGCAGCGAGAAGCCCGTCGGCCTGGCCCACCATGGCCTCGTTGAACTGCAGCTGCTCCCGGCGGGTCTTCTCGTCCACTGCCAACTCGAAGCACGTTGACGAGTGGAGGAATTTGCGGTCGAAACCGCTAGCCAGCAGGGATGCACCTTTCGCGTGGGCCGAGTGGCCATTGATGCCTAGCCCGCCTCTGTTGAGAGGATGAACCAGCAGCATGCTCGGGTGGATGCATGCCTTCCAGGCTAGACCGCAAGAGAGGAGGGTGCTTTCGACCAGTTTCCACTTCGAGACCAAAGGAAGGTCACGAGCCAGCACTGTGTCCACTTCCTGCTGCACCAGCGGTGTGACGGCCATGTTCGCGGCAGAGTTCTACAGTCGAGGGTTTAGGGTTGTTGCCGCAGGGTGCATGTCTGCAAAGTGGAGGCATGCTTCCTGCAGCATGCTCATGCACGTGGCTTTGCAACTGTGTTTGCTTTCCTTCGGGGTCCGACATGCAAGGGTCCTGCCACGAACAGCTGTCAGCTCTGCGGCGGGAAAAAACGAATCTTCACATGCATGCTCAAAGATGCCATGATTGAAAACAAACCTTGCAAGCACTGCTGGCCGGAAAGCTACCCTCAGCCCCAGGGCTTCTTGCATCCACCACTAGCCCGAAAGCTGATTCAGCCCGAGGGCTTTTTGCAGCCAGAAATAGCCCGAAAGCTGATTCAGCCCGAAGGCTTTTTGCAACCACCACTAGCCCGAAAGCTGCTTGAGCCCATAGGCTTTTTGCATCTCGCAGCAGCTCGAAAGCCGTTGCAGCATGTGAGCATCGGCAAAACTGCAGAGCACAAAACACAAAAAGCAAAAAACAAACACAGGAGACAAGCCTAAGTCTTCCAGGATAACCATTTAGCCAAACACTTAGGTACTTGGTTAGCAACCTGTCTAACTACTTATGCTATGCACCTAAGTGGTTATCTAACTGCTTGCTTAAGTACCCTAAGCAATAAGGTATTTGCCACAAACACTATAGAAGTTGACTGACTTAGCTAGGTGCTTACATAACTTCAGTAAGCCTTGTATGTCTTATAGCAGTTAGCAGCATTTATAACATGTTCTAGCCACTTCTAACAAAATACCAATCTTTTATAACTCGATACTATTTAGTAATAAGTACGATAAGCTCTATAACCCCGCGCGATCATCCAAGCATTTCTCCAACTGTGATATCAATGTGAGGGCCTGGCTCTCAACCAATTCCGGGCAACCATTTTTGACCCGAAGCCTCAGCGACTTACCATCAGGAGGATAAAGCTTGCAACTACCAGCGGACCAAACTAGCTTGTATCCCAACTGCTCTATGATGGCACCCATGGGGACAATTGGCTGCACCAGGCCGTCCCTCCCGGGAGGCAGTAGGAGAGTGCCCACGCGCGTCAAACGCATGATTGTGGTTTGGTCGCCGGCTAAACTCACTTGTACCTCCTCTGTGGCCTCCCACTCCTCCTCAGATGATGCTTGCCGCATGGGGCGTGTGGCACCGGAGTCCAAAAGCGCATATGCTATGGGTTTGGGGGCCACAGACAACCCCCCATTCTCGGCTCGAGAATGGGGGTTTGTCCCACCCTGATTTTCGGCATTTCCCAACCCCCGAGTTGGAGCCTCCTGATGGGGGGGTTGGGAGTCCCGGTTTGGGGGGCCCGAAACCGGGAAACAGCTTACGGGCACGACTGAGCGAATCGTCAGCCTCTTCACCGAAGGATTGGGTGTGGACGATGCGGGTACGGACGATGCCGGTGGCGCTGAGGGCTGCTGCGATGCAGTACTCAAGCCTTCCGGCTGAGGTTGAGGCGGCTGGGCATGTGGTGTGGTGTCGCTGCGCGGTGGATTGGCCTCCAACTGCCTTAAGGCTTGAACTGCCTGTTGCATGAAGGTGTCCATGTTGAGCACGGGGGTGGCTTGGACAACGGGTTGGCCTGAGGATGTGAAAGCTGCCTGTACGGACGGTTTCTGATCTGGCGCTTTGGGTTCCGCCTTACCTGCTTTGCAATCCTTAGCGCGATGCTCCTCGGAACCACAATTCAAGCACTTCTTAAACCGCTCATCCTTAGAGAGTTCGGCCATTGAATGTGCGTATCGGCACTTTTGGCCAAACCTGCAGCCCTTAGGCGATAAAAAGAACTTGCATGGTGTGCCACCCGCCCCACTGACACGTTCACCTGCCTCATTTGCGCTCACTGCCTTGAGCTGTGGAACGTGGGCGTCGTCAGACTTCACTGGCACCATTGCTCCGGCTAGCGTTTCAAACTCAGCCAACAAATGCCTGTGATAAGACCTGACCGCCTCTTCCGAGGGGCGTCCGTGGAGCTGCAATGTGCTCTTCACTAGCTCCGTGCGCCATGTTACCTCCGGTTCCTTACGAAGCACTGGCTTAGTCATTGAGGTGAGGGCACTCACCAGGACCATGGGATCCGGTAAATTCATGCCGCAATCCACGCAGCGCTGATACCACCTACCCCAAGCCCTCAAAGCTAACACGCCTGACGTTGCGTTGTCCACCTCCGCTGGATGCTGCAAGTTGGTCAACACTAAAGACCTCTCAGCCGTCCCTCCCGGGAGGTATTGGGTGTGCAACCTGAACAGAATGTGTGTAGCCATCCGCGTGGTTTTACGGGCTATGAGGTCCGCCTTAACCGTCTCATCCAGGGCACCCAAAAGCATCACACACGCCCTAGCATTCACCCGACTCCATTTGCCCTCTACCAACTCCGGTCTGTCATCAGGCTCTATGCGCAAACGCTCAATGGGACTTGAAACTACCCACCTCTCATAGGCGTCACGGCTCACCTGCAGAACAGCCGCCCACCAGGAGCCCGAAGTGTCCGAAAGGTCACCCATCAAACCACTTACCAGTTGTAACCAATCCTGGAAATCCAGGGATCCTGTTGAGGGGTCTGGAGTGGCCAGTTTGGGCAAATCTGAGGTGCCGGGCTTTACCACTTCAGGAGCATCACTATCCTTACCCCGGAGTTGCTGCAATTGCACGCTTTGTAGTTGTTGCATTCCTAGGATTAGTGCATCTAATGCGGGGTTGCCTGACGCAAGGCCGTGAGTCCCCTCATGCGGTATGGGAACCGCTCCTCCTGGAACTGAGCCTCCTTGCAACCCTGGTGGGGGTGGTGCCTGAGGCAATCGTGTTCCCCCTGGCGTTGCACTGTCGGCATGGGCACTAAAGGCCCTGATCTCCTCCAGACTGGGGTTTTCGACGCGAGATTGGGAGTCTGGGCCAGAAGAGGCCAGACCACCCGCTGTTGGTCCGATCCCAGCCCTTCCGGGAGGAGACGCGCGATTTGGATTGGCATATGTCTGATGTCCAACCCTTCCGGGTGGAGGTGCGCTTGCATCCCTTGCAGACCCACGCAAACCTCCCAACCCGGACATGAAACTCGACAACAAACCCGGAAAAGATGTAGCCTGAATAGCAGGTGCCACAGTCCTACTGGCATCAACCGCTTGAGGTGCCACACCTTGTACCTGAGATGTGATTGGACTGACAACCTGAGTGACCTGTGATTGGGCATGTTGGAGTAGCGGCAAAGTAGGTGTGGTTGCCTGCAGGGCAGTGTTTGCTACCACTACTTCCCTCAACATGTGGTCTCTCTCCTCCAGCTGCCTCCTTAACCTCTGTATCTCAAGGTCCTGGGCCTCAGCTCTCTCACCAAACCCCGCTAGCTGCCGTGCAACCTCAGCTTGAATTGCTTCTTGAGGGAATGATGACGAGTCGGTGCGACTCTGTGGCCTTTCAGGCCCTCTACCGTACAATACCGGGGCCCTCTGCTCCGAGGCTTGCATGCGCTGCAGCATTTCAGCACTTAGCAAAGGGCCATCCCTTCCGGGAGGCGGTGCAAAGGATGTTGGAGTACCATGCGCTCCCATTTGTGGTGGCGAGCTTGTATGCGAACCCAAACTTCCTTCTCCCAAGGCCAATTGCCCTGAAGCGCCACTCGGACTATCGCGAGTTTGTGATGTGGTTCGTGGTGGCGTGGCGTGTGTGCCTTGCAACACTGCGGCGGGTACTTGCACCACCTCAGCGCGCGCTACACGGAAAAATTCCCCAACTCACGACATGAGTTGAAAACCTGTAGCAGGTAACCCTTCTACCACTTCGGCGATGGTAGGCAATCCCTGCTGCGACCTCGGGGTAACAAACCCCTCGGCTCCCACGGTCTCCCCAGTTGACCTTATACCCCCCAACACTCCACCTCCGCTCAAATCCGTAGCCAGACCGGCCTCATTTGATACGGCTTGATGTGCGCTGGCGTTGGTCTCTGGTCCTGGGCTTCCGCCCGGAGCTGTGCTTTGCGGCAGTGCACTTCGGGGCGCACGAGCAATCCCACCATCAGTGGTGGTCGACACCTGGGGTGTGCCTTCTACTGGGTCCCCACTTCCAGATGCCCTTCCCGCAGCCAAAAGGGACGCAAAGCCTACTCCACCTGCAATGTGCACTTGTGCAGGTGTTGGTGTTGCGTCCTGTGTACCTGGGTGACCATCCCTCCCGGGTGGTGGGGATGGCATAGTGCCCAGAGTGCCGTAGTGCCCTTGCCCAAGCGTTGGGCTCATAACCTGCTGGAGCGAACCAGCAGGCATAGAAGCAGAAGCTACTAGTGGGGTAGCTAATCCCCTAGCAGAGTCTTCCCAACTGCCCATGGCTCACTCGAACACGGAGGTTTTACACGCAAGCAAGAGACCAGAAACATGACTAGGGCATGACACCAATGTTGATGCATGTGCAAATGTGATTAAAATGCATTGCTCAAGGCTGTACTGTTCGGGCCTAAAGAGCAAAAGAGGAAAACGTTTCACATGTACACGTGGCGTGAGCTACAAAGGTGGCATGCTTTTCAGCAATCCTACTATTTAGGGTACTATACTACGGTCCCCTATTTTATGAAACTCCCGTTTGGCAAAAGTTGCAAAACGTTCGGGTTCTTTTGTAACGCAGTCTGCTTGGTGCTGCCGTTTGGCTTGCCTGCCCTAGGAAAGACCTAGTGACTGCAAATCCTGTGAAGTTCGCATTCAAGTCGCTTGACATTGGATCACCCCAACCATCATAGCATGAGACCGGGGCCGCCATGGCCTGTTTTGATTTGGGCCTTTGTGCAAACACTTGGGGTATTTCAACTTGACAATCCATCAGATTGCTCTCTGTATACATACATGCATACATGCAGACAGACATACAAGCTCATGCACGCACACGTATGTGTATATATATATGCAAATACATATGTTCTTGCTCTCTGTATGAATTCGTGCACATGCATACGAAGCTTTCCGGACTGCAAGGTGGAGTCGCTTTTGCAGAGACCGGCCTCGGTCCGTGACCAGGTGGGAAGTGGGCTTCAAGCTCAGCGGAACAGCGGCACGGAGGGTTTTTGGGCGCCAGTTTGAGGCTTCTTGGGTGTAAGCCTTCCAAAATCGTGGGTTGTTAGCTTTGTGCTGGCAGCTTGTACTGGGTGTTGATGCGGTTTTCTGGGGAGGGTTCACTAGTTCTGTAGCCTTGATTGAGCCTTACAACCAACACCCTAAACCCCAAATCCGAACCCTAAAGCCCTAAATCCCAAACCGCCGGCCAGGCAGGAGATTCATGTGGATGTCAGTATTTAGCATATAGTATTGTGTGTATATGTATATGCATATATACATATACACATGTTACATAAGTAGTAGTAGTAGTAGTAGTAGTCGTCGTCGTCGTCGTAGTCGTAGTCGTAGTCGCAGTCGCAGTCGTCGTAGTAGTAGTAGTAGTAGTAGTAGTAGTAGCTGATGATGGAGCAGAGCCTGGGTTTAAAAAGTAGTAGTAGTAGTAGTAGTAGTACCAGTAGTAGTTCTAGTACTAGTAGTACTAGTAGTACTAGTAGTAGTCGTAGTCGTAGTCGTCTTCGTCGTCGTCGTCGTAGCAGTAGCAGTAGCAGTAGTAGTAGTAGTAGTAGTAGTAGTAGTAGTGGTAGTGGTAGTGGTAGTGGTAGTGGTAGTGGTAGTGGTGGTGGTGGTGGTGGTGGTGGTAGTAGTCGTAGTCGTAGTCGTAGTCGTAGTCATAGTCGTAGTCGTAGTCATAGGCGTAGTCGTCATCGTAGATAGATCAGTTCGTAGACAGATAGGGCCATAAAAAGTAATCAGTTTTAGATGGCCTTGGCTACACTATGCTGATGATAGGGACGCGCGGTCAGTTACTACTGGCAGTGTGTTGACTACCAAATATGCAACTGGTTTCAGAGTTTTTTGTGTATTCAGGTTTCGGGCCTGATGGTAGCTATAGTATGGAACACGATTATGTGGATGACTGGCAAGAACTGATCCGGCCGGGCAGATCCTGCACATCGTGGACTTCAGGGAAGAGTTGATTGAAACTTCTGTGCCCGATGAACTTGTGGCATTGAAGCGGCGCTTCGTCAGCTACTACTCGGAAGTTGGCTCGCACATAAAACACAGCGTCCATGAGATGAGATGGTAGAGCTTTCGCTCTTGATTTGTTTCCGGTTCTTGCTCCGCATATTGCAGGGCATGTTAATTCTATTCTGGCTGGCTGCCTTTAGCCCGGTGAGCCCTGCAAATCTTTGTGGCTTTCTCAGGTCCACACCGACCTGGGGCAAACGGTTGACTGCATTCCCTTCTTGAAGCAGCCTGCTCTTCTGTGGGCTGGAGAAGAAGTGAAGCAGCTAGACTGAATTGCGCAAGTCTCAACCACTTGTCACAAGACACCTCGTACGAAACCCTTTCCGATGAAGGTGTCCTCTTAAGGCGGACTCATGGGATACTTGGCACCCTAAACCTCAAAGCCCTACAGCACCCCTTTGACACCGCCTGAGATCCTTTCAAATCCGACAAAGCCTTTTCGGATGCCCGGGAAATTGGCCTATCTGGAAGAGCGCTAAACCCTAAACCCCAATCCTCTAAGCCCTAACCTTGTTGTAAAACCCTAAACCTAAAAACGTAAATCCCGACACCCAAGCCCTAAACCCTAAGACCCTAAACAGCTAGACACCGACTCAGGGCCTTAACTTGTGTTGTGGTGTGTACCGCAGACCGATGCAACCCTGCCCTTTGTAGTTGTTGACGCGCACCAAGAACCTCGTCTGGACATGTCCGAGTTGCGAGAGCGTAAACCCACATGCCCTCGTCACCCAGGAAAGAGGCGGTTGCATTGGCCAAATCCACAGGCCAGTGGCCTCATGGGAGCGAAAGCCATGAAGCGTGCGAGGAAGATTTGTCTGAGTGCAGACACCTATATGTTATTACATATGTATGTATGTATGTATTAACGTATTATTTAATGTAGTGTAGTGTATGTATGTGTGTGTATGTACGCACGTACATGTGCATGCATGTACGTATGTATGTATGTATGTATGTACCGATCCACCATACATACATCCATACATCCACCCATCCATCCGTCCATCCATCCATGCATGTACCGACGTATCTTTTTGTCTATGTCTGCGTGTATGTATGACATCAGAATGCAGTTATGCACGTCTTCATGTATGTTTATGCACTATGTGTTTCGGTGTTATGTACTTATGTATGTGCTTCGGTATGTATGCGTTTTATGCATATGTGTATGTGCGTGCATGTATGCCTGCATGTGTACGTATGTATTTATGTAGCCTTAGATACACATAGTGGCATTTTATTCGTCAGTCCTGACTTCTGAACAGCACCTTGGAAGGGGACGCTCAAGATGCAGCAGGCGAGCAGGAAGCGAATCAGGAGCAGGTGCTTGGATGAAGAGTTGATCGAAAAAGGTGCATGTTGGGTTTAGTCAAGCATTCACTGTCTCAATGTGCGACTCCTGTCTATTCACCCTTTTGTTCACCGCAGGTAATGAAGTTTGCTTGTGAGACTTCGAGGGTGTAAAACTTAGCCTGGTCATGTTGTCCCTAAGCCGAAACCCCAGAGGCATGCCTGCCCTGTGCGAAAGTGCGAGTCGAACCCTAGAGGCATTAACCGACACCAGGAGCATGCAGAGCGTTATGGCTGTAGACCTGACCAAGTCCCTCTTCCGCGCCCGAGCCTGCAAGCTGCCTCAGCTGCAAGCTGGGATCTAAGGTTTAAGGAGGGTTCACACCTTGGCTTATACTGCAGGGTTTAGGGTATGTTTCGGTGGCAGAATTCTCGACTGAGGAAACTCAGAGGATCGGGTTAAGGGTTTGGGGAATCCAAGCCCATGCTGAACAAAAAGGGAATGTCGGCTTCAGCAGATGTCTCCGAAAAACACTGCGAGCACAGTCAATTTGGAAGGGTTTTGGTGCTGAGGCTTTGCGTCGTGGACTCATACAAGAGTTCCGCAAGACGGGAAGTCCCACCGGAGGCAGGCTCATTATAAACCCCAAAAGGGTGGAAACCGGATTAAGGGCAATCAGTGCTGGCGGATTTCCTGTACATTAAGGATTGAGGCTATTGGGTTTCCAACTTTTGGGCTTCTACTGTATAGGGGTTGGCGAAAGAGCACAACCCAGAGACCCCAATATCCCTTAATCAAGGAATATACCTTAAGTCATATTAGAGGTACATTCCTTAGCTAAGGGATATTGGAGTCGCTGGGAAGTCACACCATGCCAACTCGGTCACACCTTAGTTCAGTCCTGGGAGCCTCTGGCGGGAGCCCTCCCTCTCCCAGACCTCTCCAGAAGCCTGAGCCCTAAACCTCTAATGTAGCGGCCTGAAAAAAGTAGCCCTTTCTGATCCCTTAAAAGGAACCCTTAGGCCCCCATATTATTCCGCCATAAGCCCGAGCTTTTGTCAGGGCTCTGGCCCAGTGCTAGAGAGCACCAGAGCTTAGCGCTGCTCCAAGTTGGCAAGGACGACTGCAGGACGATTGCAAGTCAGTTTCTATCAGATGGTGCAGACGCGCATGTGTTTTATTGTAGTATGTATGATAGATTCGATCATATCCGCTACAACATAATGCGCATGTTTGTTTGCACGTTTGTCTGTTATGTTATGGTAAGTGTATGTAATGTTACCGTACGGCACGTTATGGTACGGTACGGTACGGTACGGATGTATGTATGTATGCATGCATGTATGTATTTATATTTGTACGTGACATTTGCCTCGGCAGGACGATTCGGCCGCCACACCCGGGGCCTCCGAATCACACGTACTCCACCAGCCCGATCTGCAAAACGCACGGCAGTCGAACGGCTTTTGCCGTGCTCGAGCTCACCGGTGCTCCGGCAGAGGTGCCTTCCTCCGGTGGCCACACCCTCAACCAGCTCTGGTGGAAGCTGAATTTAATTTACCATAATAGTGATCTACCAGTGAATAATATGATTTCCCGAAAGAGTACGTAAACAATATGGTGTCCTTATTGTGGTAACTGAAGTTAAACCCTTTAACAAGAACCCAGGAAAGGCGTCCCCCCGGAGTCGAAGCTTCCGGTGAGCTTGGAAGCGGGCTGGTTGACCAACGACCTGACGGGCATTTCCGATGCGAGGAGCACCTTAAACTCCCCAACCCTAAACACCTAAACCATGAATCCTAAACCTTAAACACCTGAACCCTAAACTCCCCAACCCGATGCGAGGAGCAGCCAACGTATCGGAACCAGGCTTTTCGTTTACTCGACGCCCAATGCATACTTACCAAAAGATGACTGCGAGGGTGGCAACGGCTACGACCATTGGGGTGGCTTCGTCCAATATCCCGGTGCCCCTCCCCTGGGGGTCTATAGCGTCAACAAGCTTCGATCGGTTTTCCTGTACAAAACTGTGGGATCGACTGCTGGGATGCCAGAGCGGGTGGAGTTCTACCTCGCAAAGCTTGGCAAGGATTACGGGAAGCCTAGATCTGTGGCCAGCAAACGGCACCTGGTGGGTTATTGGCCCAAGAGCCATTTCTGTCAAGGCTTCCCGAAGCACGAAGACCTTCTGCTGTACACAGGGCTTGAGGTGGGGCCGTGGTTTTGATTTTCTGGATTCGTTGAGCCTTTCCTTAACTCTCTCAAAACAGCCCCTCTAGCATTAATTGCTGGAGAAGGAGATCCCTGAACCCGGGGTATGAGAATCGCAGACCGTGCCTACTTGGAGGGTCGGGGGACTTAGTAACTGGTCATTTTAGGGACTTATAAGTACCATAACCCCAATTAGGGTCCCTTTTAGGGTACTTATAAGTCTACTTACTACCTACTTACTAAGTCCTCCGACCCTCCAAGTACAATCCTAAAACTCAAGCCTGCACCTCCTTGTCGACACCCCAGTGTCCAGATGCGCTGTCCCTTAAGAGATCCCCGTTCCGATCTTTGGGTTGACTGTCTTCCATGATATTTGGGGGTTTCCGAAAATCGGGGACCCTAATATGGCACCCTAAATAGTAGGATCCTTATTATAAGGACTCCAAAAAAACGTATCCCTATTTTCGGAAACTCCCAGATTGCATTCTTGTGTACGCAAGATCTGAGTAGGTCTTCGTGCCGTCCCAGTGCCCCGGAATGCCGCGCACGGCTTCGGGTCGGATCTTGGGATGGGGCACTGAGTGGAACGCGGGCGATCCAGAATTCTACCCGATGCTCAAGGCTCGGGGTACTCTAAGGGTTCTATTATGAGGGTTCTATAAGGGTTCTGTAAGGGTACTCTTAGGATTCTAAAAAACTTAGCTGTGGTTAGTAGGGAACGGAACAATGGTAGTAATAGTAGTTATAAGTGTACCCCATTCCTCCATTCCCTACTAACCAAAGGTAACAAAAACGAAGCCCAGGATGAAGGAAGCGAGTCCGTCTTCCTGGCAACTGCGAAGCAGGACCGGTAGCCAAAGCTTCAAACTGCACGCAGAAATCGAGAAGTGTACCCAGTTTTGGCAAAAAGCACTGCAGGCCCTCAACCTGTTTATCTCACATGCCGGAACCCTAACCTACCATATCCTCCTTCTGACATATGAGCCCTAGCATGCAGAATTTATAGGGGCCCTGCAAAAGATGTAGGCTTTGATAGGTTACGGACATTCCATGTGACCTCAGCCCGAGCTTCGGAGGAGTGGCAAGCATCAGTGGGTTACGATGCGAAGCTGGGCTCTTGTTAAGGAACTTAACTTAAGTTGCCATAAGAAAGAAACATAAAGAAACCATAGTATCTACTGTAGACCCCTATTATGGCAACTTAAACTAACCCTAACCCCTGTACCCTTAAATGAACCCTTACAGAGCCCTACTATGGTAACCTCATATAAATTCTTAAACCCTTATATACAGGAACCCTTATAGACACCTTAATAAAGCAGCCATGCTTAAATTAAGTTCCTCAACCCTTATAGATCCCTTCAAGGAAGCCTTATAGACCCCTATTATGGTAACTTCAACTAAAGTCTTTAACCCTTGAAGGAACCCTTAGAGATCCCTTACATAATAAAGCAGCCATACGTAAATTAAGTTCCTCAGCCCTTATAGACCCCTTAGAGGAAGCTTGCAGACCCCTATTAAGATAACTTAAACTAAATTCCGGAACCCTTATAGATCGAACTTAAAGTGAATTCCGGAACCCGTACAGATGCCTCTTATGGTGACTTCAACCTTAAATTCCGGAACCCTTATAGATAATTTTAAGGGAGCCTTATAGACCCCTATTATGGTAGCTCAAACTAAATTCCCTTAACCCATACTTAAATTAGATTTCTTAACCAGATTATGGTAACTTACACCTTAAATTCGGAACCCTGCCTTTTTTCGATCCCTATTCTGGTAACTTAAATTGAATTCCCTTGACCCTTCAAGGAACCCTTACAGATCCCTTAAATAAGAAAGCAAAAGCTAAATTCCCTCAACCAGAACCCAGGAAGTGGGAGGCGCCTTACGTGGACTTTTCTGGCACGTATCGGCCAGTGTCCTGCGTAGTGCCCGGGAAGCTGCCCTGTGAGGACATCACTTGCCCACGGCGCTAGTACAGTGGGCTTAGGGTTTAGGGTACAGTGTTGTTGGCAAGATACGTGTGTGCTTTTTGCAAGAATGCAAACTGTGCTGACTATCTATATATATATATATGTATATACCCTTTGAATGCTCAACAGTGTAGAATTCTCGAATACTTCAGTACCAGCCAGGCGTAGATAAAGTGACGCGAGATATGACTGCTCTCAGAGCTACAGATTCGTGGCGATGCACATGAGCCGACGCTTCGCAAATTGCTTTGTCTTCATGATTTGTACAGGAAGGTGTCATGCGCGTCTCTGGCGGATGTGCAAGGCTTCGCTGTTATGGTAATATGGGGGCCTAAATAATTACCTATAGTGTTTTGGAGGTTCGTTATTATAGCTGTAGTATAACGGGCCCCAAAACCCTATTCTAATTATTCAGGCCCCTATATTACAGTACGAGTAGATCTTATGAACTTGCGACAGACCGGCTACAGATGAGCGCGACGCAGTGCTGCATCCGCTAGCAAGCTCGATCGAAGCTGACTCTCCCCCCAAAGGGGACGAGACTAGTGAGATCCTGTTTATTACTTACTGCTCTTGGCATCGAGTTACAAAGGTTCGGATATGTGCCTTTTGAGGTTGTGCACAGCGTTGACAGACACTGTGGGGTGGAAGCCGCACAAATCTTGTTGTTTCAGATTGGCTTAACAGGTCTTAGTTTGATGAATGCAACCCTAGGTGAGATGCGTCCTGCCATGATGTACCTCATGGCATTGGCCATTGTTGGCTTTCCGTGTGTGGCCGCCTTGCGTGGCCAGAGTCATGTCCAGGCGGCCCTGAAAGTGAACCAAAGCACGCCGAATCTGGGTCTTGGCATTGCTGCCGTTAGCAAGTATGCCGGTGGGAACTGTCAGTTCATGCCTGCCTTTGATGTGGCCGCCTTCTTGGTGGAGGAGGCACCAGCTGCAGCGAAAGGAGTGGGAATGCTTGCCAAGCCTGCGGTGACCGCCGTGCAGGTGGCTGCCAAGGTCGCAGGAGAAGTAGTTCCAGGAGCAGGAGCTGCTGCGAACGTCGTGTCCCAGGGTGTTAAGGCTGCAGGCGTAGCTGGTGCAGTCTCCAGGGGCACAAAGACCTTGACCCTTGCATCCAAAGCAGGCTTGCTTGGCAAGGTCGTTGGTGGCGCCTTGTCCTTGAGCAATCCTCTTGGCATGGCTTGGACGGCCTTCAATGTCGGAACGACGGCGTACCAGCTCTACGAGCTTCAAAAGATCATGCGAGACCCACATCAACTCTGTGAGGTCCTCGCAGACTGGGTCCCCCCTTACGACCAGGCCGCATGCCTCAAGGGCCTCCGCAAGAACCTGCCGGGACTCCAACTCCCCCCCAACATCCCCGGCCTCCAACCTCCCCCTGCCCAACTCGCGGTGGCCAAGATCGACAAGAAGGCGGGAAGCATCCGTTTTCTTATGTGGGAATTTCCGAAAGTTAGGGGTACCTTATCTTTGGGGTCCTCATAAATAAGGATCCTACTATGGAGGGTACTCTACTAGGGTCCCCTATTCTCGGAAGCCCCTATGTCTCACAGAGGAAGATCTATACCTGGGTTTGGAGTACCATACTTGCATACTTTTTGTTGGTACCTGTTCCTTAAAGGAACCATTATGAAATGACAGTCTATACTTTTTTCTCCCTGGTTACTTCAAAGTCCAGAAAAGAGCCTGAAGTTTCCGAATTCCCTCGGCTAGGTGGCCCTGGCCGCGGCTGCTGTTCTCATGGCCTCTACAGGCGGGCGTGCAGCCCTGAAATGTTTTTTTTCGCACGGCTGGTGATACAAACTAGACAGTGGGAGTTGTGGTATAATTATTCCTTATTATGGGAAACGCAGGATTTATATCATCAACCGTAGTGTTTTTTGGATATCTCGGAGGTGCTCTGGCCCTTTGGCACCACAGCCTCCACTCCGTGGCCTATGACCGTGCGATTTGCCCAAGAAGCCTCTGGTTGGAGGATCCCGATTTTGATGCCCATCTAGAACAACTACTAGTCCGTAGGCTTCCTACTGTGATTATAGTACAACAGCGCAAAACCCTATTCTAATTATGAAGGCCCTTAAAACTGTAATCCTACAGAGTGCCCTGCAAGAAAGCCGGTAACGGGAACCTGAGGATCCGTTTATAGGACAGTAGCCCAGAACCCTATACTTTATGTAGGGTTTAGCGACGTTTATTTAGTGTGTAGGGTTTAGCGCTTAGGATCCTACAAACGGGCTTTCAAGTTCGACAGGCTTCTCCGTGGTTCAGTTACTTCAGATTCTTAGGGTTCCTGCCACGAGTGCAGCGGCTCTGAGATCCAGGCGGGCATGTACAAGTCTGTGCAACAGGATCCTACAAACCCCAAAGACCCTAAAACCTTAAGCCCCAAGCCCCTAAACCCTAAACCCCAAAATCTTTTTCTAATTACGGAGGACCCTACACTCGTGGACTGGTACACGGATGACGCCAGCAGCTCCTCGGGATCGTCAGCGTCCATGGAGGAGGCGGGTTCAGGGTGTAGGGGGGTCTAGTGGTTTAGGGTTTCGGGGTTTAGGGTTTAGGGGGAGAGGGGACAACGAGGCCTGCTGCAAAAAAGGGGGAGAGGGGAGAAGGGAGACGAGCCGGGTTTTGGAGTAGGGCTTTTGGTTTTCAGTTTCAGGGTGAAGGGTTGAGGGGGAGACTGAGTCCAGTGGCAAAAAGAGTTGAGGGGCGGGAATGCTCCACAGTTTTGGGTGTCGACAAGGCTTTGGCGTTCTAATGGGAATTTCCGAGTATAGGTGACCCTAATATAGTACCCTACATAGTCGGTTCCTTTTTAATTTTTGGTCCAAAAATTAATAAACAACGGACTATTTTTGGAAACTCCCAATTGAGTCTGTGAGACGCGGTGGACAGTCTCCAACCTCCAGCTTGTAGCGTGCACTTTGCACCTGCCTCGTCCGACGTGTCTACAATCAGGTTTACCCTGATTAATGCTTCGGGGTCCTGATAATCATATGGGTAGTTCTCAAAATTATGGCCCCTGTTTGGGTCCATATTTTAATACGGCACGTTATATGTAGGGTACCCAAAAAGGGACCATAATTTTGACAACCGCCCATATACAGATCCTGCTTGCTGAGGATCTATACTTATGATGCTTGGTTTGCGGCAGCTTCCGGAACCCCCGCAAGGCGTTCTGAAAGCGCGAAATCCCAGACAGTACACCCGAAACCCTAAAACCAGACACCCGAGCGCCAGCACACCCTAAATCCTAAAACCCCCCACTCGAAACCGTAAACCCTAAACCCAAACCCTCTCCGAGGAGGAAGAGGACATGCTGGGATTCTCGAGTGCACCGATGCCGAGATGCAATGGTCTCAGGCATCCGGGTTCGCGGGTCACGTGAGGCTACAACCCTTTCAACCCTCATATGGGGGCCTTAATTAGAATAGGGTTCCTGTAAGGGGTCCTTTACAGTAAAGGGGTCTATACGGGAGCAACAAGGGCACTACACAGTATAGGGGGCTTAACAATAAGGAAAGGGTTTTGAGGCCCGTTATCGTTATACTATAGTTACAATAAGGAGCCCCCCAAAATGGTATTGGTAATCATTTAGGCCCCTATATACACCCTCGGCAGGACTTGTTCGGACCTGGGGATTATTAGACTTTAGTACGTTTAGGGGCTTGGGGCTGATCTATCACGTTCGATTTGCCATGCGGTATTCGTTGTAGTGGGATCCTGCAAACTGCCAACTGCAAGGAAGCGTAGAAGCGGGGATGCGCAATATCTCAGACACTTCTGCATGCCAAAGACTGCAAGCGGGAAAAGACGATTGTAGCTGCCAGGTGGGTCTCCGTGCCGACGCAATGCTCAGCATCGGACCTTTCCTGCCAGCAACGGACTTGCCAGCAAGCCTGTTGCGACGACAATAAGTGTTCACTCTACCAGTTTGACACCAATTCGGTTGGGAAGTGCTGGCTGGGCGAGTCCTCCCAGTTCACCGCCGAGAAGTGTGAGCAATGGGTGGGGAAAGTCAAGGATCAAGGGGGCTTTCAAGAGGATCCCAAGCTTTTCGTGCAAGTCATGGGGCTCAAGAAGGTGCCAAACTCTGCTCTGGAAGCTGCAAAGCCGAAGAGCTGCGGCATGCGCCCGTTGAGTGCAGATGCGTGCGCTGCAGTCACTTGCGAGGATCTCTGCCAGGAGCAGACCGACTGCCGCTTCTATCAGTTGCGCATCGGCCGTGGGGAATGCTGGCTGGGTACAGCTGAACTTCCGAATATGGCCCCAGAGCTGAGTTGGCACGGGGGACTACTGGATGCTTCACAATCGCAGACGGACTGTGAGGGCGCCTTCCTTTGCCCAGCGGACCAGAAGTGTGTGGAGACTTGCGCGGAGTGCTCCGGCTTCACGCTGGGTGCCGAGAATGAGAAGCGTTGCCGGCGGACGGCCGAGGAAGGCATCTGCGACCCGAACAGCTGGGAGAAGGACTTTGAGGGAACTTCCTTGGATGCAACTCAGTGCCAGGGCCTTAGCCGGGTGGTGGTGAAGATGTTCCTCTGTCATAGTTGGGTAACATTTTACATTTTTATGGGTACTTAAACCCAATAAGGAATAAAAATGTACATTTCAATCCTATCCCAACAATTTTTTATGAGTGCTTAAACCCAATAATTTTTCGTCCCATCCCAGCAATGATCTAGGTCCGAGGCGACGGGCTTCAATGGTCACGCCATATGCCAGGAAGCCTGTTGCTCGGATCCTTCCTGTGTCTGGGTTGTCCTCTGGGATCTTTTCAAAATTCCCCTACTTGTATTATTTTGTAGAGAACCATAATAGTAAATAAGTTTCAAAGGGCTCAAAGGACAACTCAGGTGTTCTTTACCAACTTCGTAGCAAAGCTGCGCAAGAAACGCTCCGGAAGGCTGGGGATACCGTTCACTGCTGGCTGGGATTGGTGGATTCATCTCAGAATCCACTCTTCAAGTGTGGTGGCCGGGGATGGCGAGGTGATCGCAGATCATGGGAAGGAGGCTTCCTCTCCTCCCGCGGCTGTTCGCCGAGCCAGGGTGCCTCCTGCCTGCTTCTGGGCTGTTGTTAATGAACTGACCTGTTTAAGCTTCCATAATAAGGAAACTCACTTGTTTCAAGAAGCACCAAGGCTCTCCGGGGAGTGCGTGCAAAGCTGCTCCTCTCAGTGCCCTGGAGCGGACATCTTCGACCAGAGTCACAACTCTTGTGTTGCATCGGCTGTGAAGGCCGCAGCCTTCAGGGTTTAGGTTTAGGGTTCGGAACCCTAAAACCCAAACCCAAAACCCTAGGAAAGTTTTCGAAGCGATCGGTAGAAGATCAGCAAGACAACAGTTGGACCAAAAGACTGGCTTTTGACCAACATAGACCATCTCAACCCTTCCAGGAAGCTATGCCGGTGATTCCTCTGGTGGATGGCGGGATCTCCACCTACTACATCTCCACGACGGATGAAGCATCGGCGGACACTCTGCTCATGGTAGCCTGGTCTCAGCAAGCACCCTACTGTAAACCGTTTGTTGTGATTGAAACCTCAGACATCGAGTTCCGAAGTAAGTAGCTATGTGTGTGTGTGTGTATGTATGTATGTATGTATGTATGTGTGTTTGTGGTTGTGCATGTGGCTGTGGCTAAACTGTGGCTGTTGCTGCGGCTGTGTGTATGTGCGTCAATCAGTCTGCAGCCAGGTGACGCAGAACAAGCATCGCCTAATCGAGACGCCTTCCCAGGAGGCTTGTGAGACCCTCTCTTTCGGTGCCACGGAGTGCAGTGCGGTCACTGAGGACGGCGAGACGAAGTGCAGTTGCATTTATCCTGACATGCAGTCGTGCACTACCTGGTTCGAGGGCCACTTCCACCTGAGGCCTGTGATCTCAGAAGTAGGCATGCTTCTGCTCGCAGGGGAGGGCTGCGACTGCTTCGACGAAGCCGAGAGCTCCGGTCAGCATTTCCGCTGTCATTTTGAAAACCTTCAGGAA